GAAATGTTAAGCATACACATATTGATGTGTGCATGAATATGTATGTTTAATATGTCCCCGCCGATCGTTATTAATTATCAGTGATAAAAGTGCTATTGAAATATTGGAAAGGAAAGCATATCATTCCTTCCAATAATAATTTTACAATTCATCACGTAAACTGTTACCATTTCAAAAATTTTAAACTTTCTTTTCTTAGCAATCAATTGGCAGTTTGTTTTTTCGTTTTTTGTTCTAGTAGAATTTTCTCGCAACAGTTATTTCTTTTAAATTTCAATTATGCTGCTATGGAAATAAAAATGAACTGATTGTTTTTTTTTAATGCTTGTATGAAATGTCCAACTAATATTAAGCAAAAATTCCGCGCTTTTTGGTAATTAATAAATATTGAATGTTGGATTAGTACGTTTTGGCTCGATTATTTGAGAATAAAGCTTTTTCAGAAAATTCGTACTTTTAGTAACCTAACTTATTGCTTCATTAAATAAGATTCTTTGTATTTCAATTTTGAAATGTCGTGAAAATTTTCACATTTGGATCAAGATTATTGATTGATAATATGGCAGTGATTAAAATTTCTATGAGTGAAAGAAATTCAAAGCAGAACAATTAGTCGTAAGCTTAGTATTAAACTTTCAAAATTAAAATACAAAGGATTTCATTTGATGAAACGATAAGTTTGCTCTCTTTTATCTCTCTTTTCATCGAGCAAAAATGAAACCATCTTAGCACAGAAATAATTTTGTTATTTCATCATGCTTTTCCACATCATCGCATTTACTAATTTAAAAAATTTTATGCCCAAAAATAACTTGTAGCAGTTGTTTACTAATTAAATCAAAAATGAAATATATCAATCATATGTAAGTATGGTAGTTTAGAAAGTTTCACATCTTTCAATGGTTTTATTTTGAAAGGTGATATTTTGTTTGCAATGATCACTTTAAAATTAGTGCTAATAGAAATGGATGTAATATAAAATTTTAATAATTTTCATTGATACATTACAAAAGTCATATACCTTAATGCATTATCTATCGAAATTATATTATTGTTCCTGATATTTATTTATATTTTTGCTGCTGTTAACAGTTCGTTTTTTTTGTTCTTATGCAAGAAAAAAGAATTCTAAAAGTTTTTTTCGAAAAAATTAAAACTTTATTTTCACACATTTATTTCAAAGATTTGTGATAGATAATGCATGAATTTTTGGAAGTGAAAAGATAAAAGGTTAAAATTGTTTGAATTTTTGCTGTAATTTATTTTAAAGGTATTATTGTTTGTTCACAGGGCAATAAATGTTGAAAGATAATATAGCTAAGAAGTGAAGAGATTGGAAAAGTATGACAAGTTCGATACCGTATGGAATCAAAGAAATTTCCGCTATCACATTTACCTGGTAATAACAGTATGATTTTCACTTCTGTTATCAGAAATGATATGATAATTGTACCAACAATGCCATTGACGAAAATGTATGCCGTGAAAGAAGTGAACCTATTCGAAATGAACTTCAATGAAAGTAGTGAAGAATTAATCCGCAACGGCAATATTTTAAAATCGGTTTTATTAATTTTAGAATTTAAAACAAATTGAATGTTAAACAATTTGCGAATTGGGTTTCAATGCCAGTTTTTGAAAAATGCATTAAAATAATTAAAGCTAAAGTGTAAAAATTATAATTATTTGAAAATTATAATCGTCATTTTTTATCAGAAAAGATTGAATGCAAATGAGAATGAGGAAAATACAATATTTAAATGATGTTGTTGAAAATAACACATCCTCAATTTATGGTTGCCGCTGAAATAATATCATTTAACTGATATACCGTTTGGCAGAAAAGCCGCCGAAGTGAAATGGTTTGCTGCTATTCGATATACATGGTAGACTTGATGAAAAAAAAAATGAAAGCAATGTTTAATTTTAATTTTTTGTAGCTGATAATGGACGAAATTTGAGCAATATGGAAAGAGCAGATCATTTACAATCAAATTTCGAAACTGTGCCAGCAGCACAATTCAGGTTCTCAGGCTTCGGATAAAACAATCAGGAAATGTAAAATGAATGAGTCATGTTGTGACTGAACGAAATATTGTTTTGAAAAGTATGAAGAAATTCAAAAAATTCCTATCCTTTCCTCATTACTGCTATAAACTCATCTTTTTCTCTCAAAGATATCATCAATGTGATAACTTCGAAGGAACTTAGATTAAAAAAAAAAATTGATTTGCGAATATTGTTTGTGTGTTAAATATTTCATTTATAAATATTTCATATTTCACTTTTTTTCTTCATCGATTCACTTACAAATTGATTATTTATTATTTTTTAATCATAATTAATTACTAATAAGCAATTATGATTATATTAACAATATTGTTACATTGAAAGAAAATGATCAAATTTAGAAATATTATTCTGGGAGTTTGCTTTGATATTTTCGAAAAAAAAAGGAATGCGAGCTCACAGTTCACGATCATTTTACAGAATTATGAATGTCATAATTCTGCTCCATAGATAAATTTTTGCAGAATTGCAAAGGGTGAAACAACGGTAACTCAGACAAAATTTATAATTCAGAAACCAATCAAACTTCAACCTACTGCATCAGTTCAGAAATCCCTGTCTGCAGATATTCAGGTTACCTTTACTTTGTATGATGTATATAGTAGAGGAAGTTGAAAAAAATTAAATTTGTTAAAGAAATCGTCATAAGTTCAACTTTAATTGATGTACATAATTTTAGTCATAATTTAAAATTATAATAAGTAAATTCAGTATATGGTTTTAATTAAAATAGCAACCACGATAATTAACATATTTCGCCAACGAGAAATAAGTTCGAGAAATAAGTTCCTGCTTTCGGGATTTGATAAACTCTTAAAAATATTTTCTTCATCTTTCTCATTTCTCTTTAAAATAATTATTTAAGCAGTTTTTAAATCAAAATTGTGAGCTTTGCCTTTGCTTCCTTACAAATTCACTCTGAATTGAAATGAAAAAATTGTTCGAATTGATTTTCTGTCTGATAATATCTCTTTAATTTAATCAGTACATGACGGAATGAGTGTTAAAGTAATTTATATATAATTATTTAAGAATATATTCCAATATCAAATTGCAAATTTAAGCAATGCAAAAAACTGCAATTTATTTATTAAGTCAATAGATGACAATTGATTCAAATTTCAATTCTTTTATAGTTTGGGCAGAAATAGAAAAGCAAAAGTGAAATAATTTATTTAAAAAATTGCTTTGCATGCTTATCATTGTTTGAAAATTTGCATTACAGCTTTATAAATTATATTGATTTTGATAATTTTGCAGAACAAAATAACAATAAAAACTACAAAATTGATAATGAATAATTGAAAAATTTTGATTTTGTATAATGTAAAAATTACCCAAAATAATTGTAAAAATTGAAAAAAAAAAAAACGAAGGTTTAAGACATTTTTTTCCGCAAATGATATGCTTGACGGTGAAATAAAAATGTATAATTAACTAATTGACAATTAGTTTCGTAATTGATTTCTTAAGTGATTGAGATAATTTCATGCAAAATATACGAAAAATTTACTTCAAAATATTTGATAAGAATAATTTTTTTCTTTTATGAAAATACAAACATGGCAATACTCTCTTCAAGATAATTCAATACTAAATATAATATCTAAATTGAATCTGAAATGTGCACAAAAATATAAAGTAGAATGATAATTATTATATGAATATAGATTAAAGTGTAGTTGAGTGAAATATTTTAGAAAATTCTACGCTTCAATTCTGCAATGGACAACTCATCGGTATTAGCAGATGGCACCCATCCTACATGGATTATCAGACGTCACCTAACGCAAAATGACAGTGCAACGGACAGCGCTGGTTAAATTTTTCAAAATTAACAATTCAAAAAGATAATATATGGCTAAATATATGGCTAAATTATATGACTAAAATAAATTCAGAAATTGCAAACTAACTAGCAACCATTAAAACAGCAATTTTTAAATCTGTTGATGCAAAATAGGTCTTTCTACTTTTTTTTTCTGTCCAATTTGAAAGTTCATCAAAATTTGCAATCTCACTGTCATCATTTTGAAATACTATTCAAAACTTCTCTGTTCATCATATGAAACAAAAAAAAAAGGCTTTGTGGAGAATTTTTTCAAAATTATTTTCATTTTATTCAAAATACGAATTAATAAGCCAATTTCAATATGAATATTTGTTTAGAATCAAAATCTGAAATAGCGAAACCAATAAAGATTGAGAATTGGACAACAGCAAATGCTAAACGTGTGGAAGCAAATCGAAAATTATTGCAACAACAAATTCCTTATAAATCATCCACCGCATCTGTTGCTTTCAGTAAAGTTTTTTTTTTTAACAAAACATTTTTCCATTACTGTATTATTGTATTTTTTCATTACTGTATTCAAAGCTTATATAATAATGGAAAAAAGCAGAGCGCTTCCCTAAGAAATACTTTCATTTGCATAAGTATCATCACTGATTCATCAATATTTTTTTTCACAAAATCTTTTGTAAATTGTAAAACTCAGAACATTTCCCGACGCTCCAAACATCAATCGATCACATAACATATCTTTAAATGACAGATCATTCTGTAAGGTTTTGCTTTTGTGATATTGTAAGTTGATTGATTGACAGTTTATAAATAATCATAGGATCTCCTTTTATGACACAATTTAAACTATTCCGGATCTCATAATTTGAATAAATTTTCAATTTTTATTACATAAATTTTCAATTTTTTATTACATAAATTTTCAATTTTTATTACGATTGTTTTCTCTTGAAGTTTTGATAGAAATTATAATGTTATATTATGAAAGAAATGATAAATGTTTGAAATTGGCTCTATGTATGTTCTTTTTTTTCCTGTGATTGCATCATTTTTCATCATTTTTAATTAATTTCAAGATTGATCAATGATCGTAATTTAATGAGTGGAATTTTAATTAAATTAACAAAATTTGGAGGAAATCCTAATCAAATTAACCTTTTTTTGCAAGAAAGAATAATTTTTGTTCATTGATTAACAAATAGTTTGCTTTAGTTTTGATTACTTTTTACAGAGGAAACAATTGAAGAGTACGAGCGAATAATTGGAATGCATCGGAAAGAACACCAAAATGTTACTTCCAACGGTGGAAATACAACATGGAAGCATGGAACTTCATCGAATGGTACTTCCCATAGTATGTGTAAATCTTTAAAAATGAGTTTATTTACAAATTCCAGGATTGCATCTATCAAACAAATTGATTTTAGCAAGTTTTAAGATAATGAGAAAAGGAAAAATTAGGAAAGGGAAAAAGTGAAACGGAGAAGAAAATTATTAGTAAATTTAGGAATTTGAGATCGGAATGAATTGTGAAAGAATTGATAAGCAAAAAGTGAACGCCACTATCAGCGATGTTTCTTTTGAGAATTGTTGATAATCAGTAAATAAGTAAGATGTTATGCAATTTATTTACCACTTTTTGCTTTTGAAATGTTATAATGAGCACTGCTATCTTTTGAAAGTAATACTTATCTATTTTTTAAATTATAAACAATTTCTGGATATGACTTCTTTAAAACATTTTGTCTCGTCAAATATTTTCCATAACGAACTCTATTCATTTAAGTTTTCTTGTTATTTTATTTTCCGACTTATTTCAATCTCTCACTTCAAAGTCAAAATTTAATTTAGTTAGGAATATTATTTAAGAAAGATAAATAGTAATGAAATTTTAATTCAGTTTATTTGAAAATTTTTTTTGTTATCTTCATCGTTTTAACATATTGAACTGTCATTATAACGCTAAAAGGATAATATATAAATCGGAGAAATTATGGCAGGTATTCATGAGATTTCAAATATCAGAAATAGAATTATAATGTAAACTTTTTCAAGAATTCAAGTGATAAATAAAGTTGGAAAATGTGCCAAGCGCATTTTGCATGCTATTTCTAATCCCCTACGAACTCATTCTTTCAGTTATTTTTTTATTGAAAAAATAACTGAGGGAATGAGTTTCATTTTAATGAAAAAATTAATTAAAATTAATATTAAATTAGAAGTCTCTATTGGGAAGTATGGAGTAAATTTTTAAATCAAATTCAGCTTTTTTCAAAAAAAAAAGTTTGATTTGCTAAAAAACCAAATTCACTTAAATCATCGAAATATAAAACAAGTTTTTTCTTAGAATTATTTTCATTGATTCAGCAAATGTTTTTAAGATAAAATATTTGAAAAATCCATGTCAACGATCGAAGAACAACATGGACATGCGGAATTGAAAACAATCCTGAGATATCTGAAACATGGCAGAAGCGAAGAGAGTATTGAACGAACAGCGCCAATGTCTAAAAGTCATGGTCAATACAATGACCAAATTCAAAATGAACCGGCTACTAATGAAAAAGCAGAACTGGACAATCATCGTAAGCATTTACATGAGTTCAGACAGGTTTATATCATTTCTGAGAAGTGGGAAAAATAAGAATTGCAGATAAATTACGCTTTTGTGCCCAACCTATCTCATAGCATAACTGTATGAATTTGTATCAATTTAATCAAATCTTAATTCAATATTTTATAGATCATTTAGCTTAGCTTAATGTAACCTAATTAGCTAATTTAATCTCATAAAGTTAAAAAATAGCAAAATGATCTTTTAAACTCTGCAAACTTGATATTACGGTATTCTTCAAATTTCATCCAAATTCATTGAAACATATCGGCATTATCTTTTATTTTATTTTTGTTTCAATGTTAGAATTTATAGCAATCGTGCTCAGGCATAATTTACAAGCAAAATTTAATGACGTATTAAACTGAAAGGTTTTGGATTTTAAAATTATTTTCCAGTAAACATGACGAAGTAAAGTTAAATAATTTGATGCAAAAAGCATGCATAATTGCTAATGTAATAGCATGCAACTATGCAATCAACATGCAATCATGTATGATTGCTAAGTAATGTAAGTTAAACTAAGCAAAAAAAAAGAAATTTTCACTTAATTTATTTTCCTTTCTCTTTTTATCATTAAAAAGATGATTTATCGATGTGTTATGGTTAAAATGTCTGTTAAAAAACTATGATTTCAGGAAGTAATGCAATCAGAAAAGAGCAAGAAGATATGCCTCAAGAAAGTTCTTATCAAACAGCAATTGTTCTTAATGTCTTTGAGGGAAAGCCAACTTTGGTTTCTTCATCCAACAACAATGAAACAATTTCCTCTAAAACCGGTTCTGTCCTTTTTTTTTTTGAAAAATATTCGATTTTTCTTTTCTAATTCATTCAGGTAATTGTATTTCTCAAATTTCTCTCTCATGCGAGGATTTTCATTCAATTTTCTTTCGATAATGTTTGAATAGTCGTGGAGAATATCCGTTTTCTTATTCTTGAAATTCCAATGTTTCCTAATGATAATACAAAACAATTCTTATGTTTCATTATAATTCTCGAATCTTTAGGCATTAAAAGTTTTTTTGGTGTAATACACCCCGTATGTTATGCTGTTGAATATTTAAATTTTTTAATAGTTAAAAATTTTAGAAAATAAAATGAGTTATTATTGGATGGATATTAAAGTTTAGTTTATTAGAGATTCAGGAAGATTTTTTCTGCTTAACTGAATTCTGTAAATGAATGTATAAAATATCTTCGGGAATGATTAAAATTAGGATCCTTTGGAATTCGATGTTTAAATAATCCAAAATATTCAAGTAGAATAGCAACAATAAATAAGATTATCGATATTAAAGTTAGGGAAAGAAATGCAAGAAGGAATGATTAAAAGCAATAAGGATGTACTAATTAATTATTAAATTAAACTATCTATTGTCAATTAATTATTGAGAATTTATGTAACAATGGTCGTGATTGAAGTCTGCAAATTCTCAAGAATTAACAATAATAATTTTATTTTGCAATAGCAAATGAAGTTATGTATGAAGACAGCAAGGTAAGTCTAATTTTTACGTGTAATTCGGGCGAATTGACTTCATGAAATTTCAATCTTTTTCGAAACAAAAGAAGTAAGCATCGAATGAGATACTTTTTTAGTTTATTTTTAAGTGAGCAAAGAACGGGTATGATAATGATTCATGTCGTGAAGTATACAACCAAAAGCATTTAAAGAATTTCATCAAAATTTCATTAAATTTTACTTTCGTTATTTCGCGCTCTTGCCACTCGTCGTGTCTTGTTTGTTTGGAAATTATCAAAAAATGATCCGTAAAAAACAATCAAACTCACCGATGACTGATAAATGTAATACAGCGCAAGCGATTTGAATGAGACGTCTGATCTAACTTTTTTTTTAGCATTTTGGCATATTTTTATCTGAATTTTTTAAGATTTCATTTTGGATGATCATTAATCAGTCTTTTTTCTTGTTACTTTAACATAAATCTGAACGGTTTTAAACTTTAAAATGTTTGCCAAAATGACATTCTCATTTTTTCAGTTGCTAATAACAAACGTGATATCGATGAAAAAGTTATTTCAAAATCAGCAAACTTTAAAAGCGGAAAGGCTATACAATCTGACTTACTAAAAGATATATTCCGTAAGCCCTCTACTTCCATTTAATTATCATTCCTGCAATTCGAAAATCTAAAGCTGGAAATAATGTCTTCTTTGGATCAATTGATAAATTTTAGAAAACGTATTGCCGAGCTATCAACGTGACATCGAGCAACAATTGAATAGTGCTTCAGAAGTTACCGTAAAACAGATTTTTGTGCAAGGAACAACTGAAAATAGTAAAACCGAAAAATTAACGTTAAAAAAGACTTATAGTACAGGTAAGTGAAAAAGCCTTATTAACTGAGATAAACTTTAAATCAATAAGAAATTTTGATAGAAATATTTATTATGTTTTGTGATTACATTTATCATTGATATCATTGAAGATTGTACATTGTTCATTTTACACTTAACACAATAATATAATTTTGCACTTGTCATGATATTATCATCTTGAACTTATCATGATAATATCATTTTGCGCTTATCATCATATCATTTTGCACTTCTTGTAATAATACCATTTTGCACTTATCACAGTAATATCATTTTGTATCTATCATGATAATATGAGCGCTCCAGCAAAAGAAAATATTTATTTCGCAAAAATCTAGAAGATAATAGAAAATAATTGACCAACTAATGCTAATGAATTTTGTTCCATTCAGGATGTTCCTCTCCCAATGATAAGAGTGACAATGTAAAACAACAAGTATGTGACATTAAAATCAATGAAATCGCAGATCCATCAACGACCACTTTCTCGTACAGTATGTATTCAAGTAGTTCAAATTTCTTCTCAAATTCCTATTGCCTTCCAAAAATTTCTAATAATTAAGTAAAATTTAACTCTTTCAATCAGTAAAATAGGAAATTAGAAATCTAGGCTGGTAATGTAAATTTCGAATTAAAATTAATGCAACCGTACTTTTATGTGATTCTCATTGGGTAAAATTAATTCACAACAATTCTTTGATATAAAGAATGAGAGGAAAAGAAGCTTCTTTTTCGAAAAGAAATTCTCAAGCTTTCAAGTCAAAATCACTGATCTTCCTCGAACTCTTAAATTTTTTTCTGCACTCAAGGAAATAAAGAAAGCAGGATATCGTATAACAATAAATCATCGCCTAAAACATTGCAGTAAATTGAAGCTTAATAAACCATTCATAAATATCCACGAAGAAAACTTTCTACAATAAATTAGTTTTTTTATTCCAATTTCACCGTTTTATCATAAATGAATGAATGAATTTAACTAATTAATTAATTAATTAGATGATACGAGTTCACTCTCTATAAATAAATTTAAGACAATGGACAAATTAATCAAAGAATGGACGGAAACGAAAAAGATTGTCAAAAAAAATCTATAATTGATGAAAATGAAAAAAACAATCCTGCTAACAATGTTACATCGAAATTTCCATTTCATTCCAAACAACCAATGCATCTGGAAATTTTCGGCAAGTGCTGTAAGTTTATCATTTAATTTGGTACTGATATTTCTCTTATAATTTTCCGCATTTTAACAATCGGATTGCAAAATGCTAACAATTGAAATCCGATGTAGTTAGCAATTCTCTCATTTAGAATAACTCAATGATAATATTATTAAAATGGACACAACCGTCAACAAAATTTCACTCAATAAATGTGAATTTTATTTTTTAATCAGAAAAACAAAAATTATTTAAGCAGATGGAAGGTGTACAATATAACAAAGTTAGAAGTGAAAAATTTTCACATAAAATTTAAATTCATATCAAGATGGATTGAGTTATATTTCCTAACTTCATTTATCTCATATTTGAAGTGAACGCTGCATTCAATGCGAAACAAACGCCAATTCGAACTTCCCTTTCACGGAAGAAAGAGGAAGATGAATATGATGTATTTGAAGAGGAGCATGAACCAGATTGGGTCACCAGTTCATTCAGACTTGGCTCAATACGTCGGAAAAAGAATGAAAAGAATGTCGCAATGCAACGCATTCAGAAAGAAATTGAACTAGAAAAGCAGCGACATCATGAAATGATAAAAATGAGGCGAAATGATAAAGTAAATCTGTGTTAGTTAAATAGCTTACAGAGTTTATATAAAATATAACTTAAAAATATATATATTAATACTATAAACTAATACAAAATTGATGGAATGACGAAGTTAGATCATCAAGATTATTCAATCATTGATTGTAAAACGTCTGTTCAACTGACATCACAAGCTCTCCCGACTAATAAGCTCATTATCAAATTATATCACTTAATTGCTCTTTGATTTAGCCATCAGTAATTTAATGAATTGTTATTATGACTCGTGAATTAACTGGAGCAATTTTTTAATTTATTATATAGATCAGACTGATCTGATATCTTATGGTCAATCGTTAAATTCATCAGAATTAGAATTTGAGAGTCGGTTTATATTTATCCTAAAGAGAAAGAGAAAGTTAATGTATTGTCATAATCAGGATATATTTGATATATTTATTATTTGGCCATAAATTTAAAATTCTAGCTGCTCTGAATCTAAAGATTTGCTGAATTACTCTTTTCGTCCAGCCTCAATGTCTTTTTTTTTCAAATAATGTTTGCCGCGATGCTATCTTTATTACTTTAGCATAAGTTTATCAGATTACCTTGCAAAATCCCCACGTGTTTCCTTAAATATAAATAAAAATGAGGAATTCATTTTTACAAAGAGGAATTCAAGAAACGGGTAAATAATTCTGAGAGCTATTCAGCTGAGTCAAATGGCCATGCTATTTCTACGACGTCGGTCCACAGTTACCGATATCCACCTCTTGTCAGCAAGAGCAATAATTATAACTTGTTCTATAAGACCACCTCCATTGTTTCAAGTTCCATCACTATAAATACCATTCTTACCATAACTATTATAATAGTTATGTAACATATACATAAATATAAAAAAGACTTTTTCTTTGAATTAGCTCCGTATTTGAAATTTTAATTACTGCTTTCGAATCACATATGTTACCTCACTGACTTAAAATCTCTATCATATAAATAAGACACAGTTAAGTATGATACGAAAAATTCTTCGAAATTCACATTTTTTTAATCATTGGGAAACACTAAAAGATTCCACAATATTCAGCGAATCTTCTGTACAGTATTGAACATCTTTTCAAAACAATGCAAATATAGCATCCAATCGAAAACTAAGCTTACAATGTAAAATGATTGCACCCTTATATTTCTAATTAAGTTTTTTGAAATTTTGTTTATTTAACATATTCAAAGTTATTCCTCGCCAAAAGATAGGAAGGAAAAAGAGTTGATACAGCCCGAAGATACGATATCTTATGTTTCATGCTTGCAGCAAACTCTTCCGCATTGACCCATTTGTAGTCCGCAACTTCATCTTCATTAACCATCAACGAAACACGATTCATATACAGTGCTTTGAAGAAAAAGACCTGTAAACAAATTTTATTAACCGAGAAAATTTTTTGATAAGTTAATATATGTCCTACATGAAAAAATTTTTAGCTTGAAATCTGAAGACAAAATCTACAGAGGATAATTAATTTTTGCAATTAATGAACCTGCTTAATTAAAACAATCACAACTGAGATATTGCACAGGAATCCTATATAATAGTATCGGCTTTGAATAATTAACTATAAAGCATTATAAAGCATCCTTAGTAATATTCCAACTTACCGCAGCACCTCGTGATTGTGTTTTTAACCTCTGTCGTAGTTTGACAGGATAGCAATAAAAATAAACGGAGAACGGTGCATTGCTTATTCCTTTTCCATACACTTCAGTGGTAAATAATTCTTTGAGACAACGCTCTGAAGTCTGCAGATAAATCTTTTATCTTTCGCAACAAAATAAGTACTTTAAATTTATTTTTAAAATTCAGTGGTAATCTAATTTCAACGACTATGTGATATATTCATAATAGAGAGAAAATTAAAAATGAACAGTAACTCACTAAAAATGTGAAAAATACACGAAAAAATGAGACCAACTTATTGATAGTTCTTACTTGTTTTAATGATTCGCCTGGGAGATTTTGCAGTTGAGGCAGATGCCACGGTGAATGATAACCGTCCTTCCGTCCAAATTTCTGACATACGATAAGCACAAGAAATTCATCAATTTTCCTTTGCAAACTTTTGCTGTCAGCTTTTGAAAACTGCAAAAACAATAGAAATAGATAGGTAATGCAAATATCTTTGCTATACAGTTATACACTTACTACTGAGAATTTACTATTTTTGAAACAATTACAGTAAAACATGAAATGCTGTGAAATTATTTTTTTCATTTTAATCAAATGTACACAGAAGAACACTATGATGATTATCCAGTGGTGTTAAGCATAATACAATCGCATACACTATTACGCATTTCAAATTTGAAATATTTTGATATCATCTCTATTTCTCCTGTTTATCACAGTCTCAAACTGAACATGTATTCAGGTCAAAAAAAACACAGATTTTTGATCTCCATTAAAAATACTAAAAACTGAGTGTTTTAAACAACACATCACCTTGGTGAGATCCCCAATTGCAAGCTGTTCGCGAATTCGATCTGCTTGCTTCCGCCAATTTTCTTCGTCCACAGAAGCAAGGATTCCTATTTCTTCTTGTAGATTAGCTTCCTCTCCAATCATTTTCAATCTTTCTCTTTCCTTAAGAAGCCTACAATAAAACTGTAAAAAAAGAAGCTATACAAATAAAGAGATACTAAATATCGGACAGTTTAGAAAATGAGACACATAAACAAATTGAAAAATAAATAAAATCACGTAACCAATAACAAAGAAATACCGTTCATCTCTTAGCTGTCGCAATTCAAAATCACATCTGAGTGAATTTTCCAATTCCCGCTGTAGCATAAAATCGTGATAACGTTTTTCAATATCATTCATTGGTGGTGCAATGATAGGCGGCCTTATGAGAGCAACCGATGCAAATATATCCCAAACATGCGAACCTTCACTACTGCTTGCCAATGATGAATGCAAGCGTGATATTTGATTTAGTACCCTATGGCGCATTATAGCAATTACATCAAATGACCTGAAAAAAAAAACCGGAGGTTTTTGTCGAAAAAGTATACCACGATAGCGTGGGAACGATGAATTTCTTCAATAGAGTCACCCGGGATATAATGAATTTTGAATTAGTTAATCTCTAATCATTAAAATTAGAATACCTCTGTAAATTTTGCTACTTACAAACACTGACCATTCTAAAATGTGCCTTTGCCTTTCGCACTGCCCACCACAGCAGATCGGTACCACATCGCATCAACAACGACCAATGCTGATATTGATGGTTTCATATGAAATGGAACCATGCCACTCAAAGTGACAGAAGTATGATGATGGCAATGGCGATCGATGTCGGTTTTACGACATTGTAGTACACATACCAATTAAACGTTGCAGAAATGCACCGAGGCAGTACAACAGTACCATCCAATAACGGTTCTAATATCAGGTAATCATTTAATGAAAACATTCACTTATCTGTTAGACGTTAATTAACACTAATAAATGATTTAATTAACACTAATAAATGTATTTATTAGTATTTCGTGATAGTTTGATATTCTTAACCTCATTTTACATATTATGGTGTTTATAGAAGCAAATAAAAGTTAATAAGATTATTACACATGATTGTTTTTTTTTTGTTTATTGCAATCACAAATTTAAAAGAGATATAGCATTATTATTTATGGACGTGTCGTTTAGATATGGCGGAGCAATACAAAGTGCACAACATGGTCGACGGTCATTTGCTCCACAACCTGCAGGTGCTCCACCAATGCTTCCACCGCAACATAATACTCGTAATCAGGTGCAAAATCGTGCAAAGAAACGGAAATTGGTTGACAAGCTGTTACCTATACAGGTAATTTACGACATTTTGTTTTTTATCTTAATGACTTATATAAGTGACTACACTGAAGGCAACTTTGCTATTTTTTTGCAAAGTTCTTGGAGATTTTGTTTCACAGTATTTCAGGTCGTTTCTATGGTAGAAATTCGAGCTCTTATTGGTACTATTAACGCTTTGAATTCCTTCCTTCAATCCAAACATTCATTTTAAAAGTAGCGAAGGGAAGAGTGACAAACGTTATTGGTTGTTATTGATTGGAAAATATCCATTTTAAAAGTTCGTTTCAGGTGAAAAAGTTGGAAGCTATTAATGAGATCAATATGATTTAGTTTCCTTACCTTAATAACAATTTGAAAACTTTGAAAACAAAATGTACCAAATTTTGCAAAGAGCTATCAAAGTTGCTTCGGTTTTATGGTCTGATCGAATACCTCTCTGATAGAAAAGAGATCGTTGAAATGAGTTCAATTTCTCTCTTTCGATTTTTTAAGGTTCGGGAGCTTGTACCAGAATCCCAAGCTTACATGGATCTTCTAGCTTTTGAGCAAAAGCTCGATGCTACTATCACAAGAAAAAAGTTGGATATACAAGAAGCTTTAAAAAGGCCAATAAAGGTGAAAAGGCGGCTTCGAATATACATTTCACATACATTCATACCCGGCAAAGAACCTGAGGTTTGCGTAAATATTTAAAGATTCAAATAAACAACTACATCATGAGTTTAGATGGCAATTTATCATAGTTTTCCAACATCAGACGATCCTAATTTCCCTTCTGTTGAGCTACAATAGTTGCGGAAACAGTTATTCTGAAATTTTTTTATCGTATGAAACCAAATTTTTATATTAATAATTTGCAGAGAGAAGGTGATGAAGGTACTGTACCAATGTGGGAATTGCGGGTAGAGGGACGTCTGTTGGACGAACCATCGACAGGCGTAGGTACCGCAGGTAGTGGAGCTGCTCAAAATCGAAATCAACCACTGAAACGGAAGTTCAGTTCATTCTTCAAAAGTTTGGTCATCGAATTGGACAAAGAAATTTATGGACCTGACAATCATCTTGTTGAATGGCATCGAACTCCTCAAACGAATGAAACTGATGGATTTCAGGTTTTTTCTGAAATCGTCATGGATTTTTTTGTAGTTACATCATAACATTAAGGATTCATCACATTTTGAATATTTGATATTTGTATATTCATTTTTGATTGGTTATTTTTAGGTGAAAAGACCTGGAGATCGGGATGTCAAATGTACTATTCTTTTATTACTTGATTACCAACCGATGAAATTTAAATTGCATCCACGACTGGGAAAAGTACTTGGAATGGCTACGGAAACACGTCCAAAAATTATTGAAGCTCTTTGGCAGTATATAAAAACACACAAACTGCAGGTATAAATTTTCCAAACTTCCATACTGAATCTTCAAAACTTCATTTCTGTCTTTTATCACACATGTAATATTTTTGTAGAACTTTGTAAGAATAGCAGAATATTTACAGGATCAGGCTGAACGCGATAATATAAATTGTGATTCTTACTTGGAACAAATTTTTGGAGTGAAACGAATGCGTTTTATGGAAATACCTCAACGCCTTCAAAGTTTATTGCATCAGCCAGATCCTCTGATTCTGCATCATACTATTCAATATAGTGAAGGAAATGAAAAAAACACGGCATGCTATGATATTGGTAATTTTTGTCATAAATGTTTTCATTCTGGTCATTTAATAACTTTATCAAATAGGCTGCATGGCTGTTATCATTCATTAATATCATTTATAGCGAAATGTTAAAGGTTGAAAGCCCTTTTTTAATTTTCTAGAGAAGTTTTAAGTCTTTAAATGATGTTTTAGCATTTTAAAAACTGGTGATAAAATGAAGAATAGAAGTTAACAAAGCTGAAAAATATTGGATAATTTTCGTAATTACAGATGTGGAAATGGAGGATCCGCTAAAAACACAGATGACTTCATTTCTTCATAGTCACGCTAATATGCCAGATATAAGCGCATTGGACCAAAAAATTTTTGATATCGTGGAACAAATCAATGAATGGAAGCTTCGACGAGATTTTTATGTCCGTTTTGCGGACAATCCACAAGAATTTATTCACAAATGGTTGATTTCTCAAAGTAATGATCTGAAGGTATGGTATTTGTCACGTTGATGTTGTGATTGCAAATATCTGTTTTATTTCAAGTTTTTGAATTAGAAAATTAATGGAAGCTTGGTTTAGTTACATAGTCAATGCATAAAATGGTAACGCTACTCCGTTAAATTCATGACCATTGTGTCATCTTTGATTTCGTCTTTTTCTGGTTCTGATCCCATGATTTAACAAATTAGTTTGCGAGCTATTAATAGTGCAACGAAAAATCATAAGATATGTGAAAAAACTTATAAACTTGGCTGTTTTCAGCACAACAATTTAATGTCAAATCACGTGATAAATAGAAATTTCTGTTCCGTGATGTCTATTACATGCTTTTTTTCAGACAATGACAGAAGTATTTGGTGACAGCGAAGCTGAGCGTCATGCTGAATATTATTATCAGCCTCAAATTATGGAGGGTACTTTCCGCTATATCTACCACAAAGTACAACAAAAACGAGCTGAATTAGAGAGCACGTTAGGCATTAAAAACAATTGACTTTCCAGCTATCCTTTTGACTGTTTTGATTTGATATAAATCAGTTGTTGTGTATCTGAAAAATAATTGGGACTAGTGATTTCGTTGGTCCATAACTTTTAAAGATGCTGCATATGCTTAGCATGATTTTTCTCTAATTTTGCCGTTTGGGTGATTGTTTTGTGGAAGACTATCCATGTAATTGTTTAATTTATTTATTTTTCATTTCATTGACAATTTACAATATTTATTGTACTCGATATAACTTATTTTATAACTTTTGTAGCTTGTCATATTTTGTTCTTCGCTGAAACTAATATTTTATAAGTTATTTCTTAGCCTGAATTTAAAGTTTTTTGTTTGTGAATATTCGCAGGGCTGATGGGAGAATATCGCCCATGTTTGTTCCCTGTTATTATCCTTTGCTTTATGAAAATGGATGGATTGATTTACAATTAGAAAGTAAATAGAATAATTTACGATTGAAACTCCTGATCACTGATGGACATGAAACCATTTTTTCTTACTCGTTTGTATATCATAGTGTTTGTATGTGTTTTTATTTGCTTTATAAAGACAGCATTGTTCACAAATTAGTATTTTTTATTGCAACGGATTGATTATTCATTCTTTTTTTTGAGATTAATTTACAAGTCAAATAGTTGTTCAGTTGACATTTTTGCAGTTGGAAAAATAGCTGTAAGTGGAGTTAACTTTAACAGTCGCTGAAGAATGTTAACAAGCTTCCGTTGCAAGGTAATTTCTAAACAATAGTTGAGACATATGATATCATTACTGATCGGTAGGCCATGAAATTGTGAATGCTAGTATTCTGACTCGAAGTTTGTAATGATGTTAATTACTAATGTTAAAAAATTGTAAACTAGAAATTTTTTCTAGTAAGTCACCATCGTGATAAAATAATTATACCTCAATAAATGTAATGCTGTTGTGATTATCTAAGGTGCTACTGTTGCAATTGAATCCACATATTAATCATTTGAGAAAATGTGATTGATTTTCTAGATCACTGTATGATTTCGAAGATTGGATTCAATTGTTTTGATGACAATAAAAACTTTTATTTACAGTGAGATGAACGCATCAGTTGCAAATTGTTTCAATGAGGATCGATATTCATTTGGCGTTTCAGAAGCGGAGACATGTTCATCGCCTCCAAAACTCAATCAGGAACAGAAAGAAATATTGCGAAAGCAAGTGCCAGCAAGTGATTTCAAGCGGATAAAGCTACAAGAAGGGTTGCGAAAGAATTGGGATAAATTTTATTTGCGAAATAAAAGTAATTTCTTCAAAGATAGATGGTGGACCCAACACGAATTTGATGGACTATTAAAGAAATACATCAATTTACAGGTTAATCAATGTAGAATGTCGAACAGTTCTATCCATGTCTACTACCAAAAATTATCACCAATGATTGTGCATACATATAATTAGTGCTAGACTGATATTGATCGAGTGATAATTGAAACGGTGACAAACGAACTTGTGGCTCAATTCTATCGTTATAAGTAGAGCACTGATAATCAATAGCAGAAATAAATATAATTTTATAAAACTGAGCTCTTAAATGAAGAAAAAAGTTTTGTATGGATTTATTTGGTATCACTTCTTTTTCTCAGTAGTTTTGGTCGGTTTTGCAGGATAACTTGAATTTTTTGGAAGCTGGGTGTGGTGTTGGCAACTTACTTTTTCCTCTGATGCATCTTTATCCGCACTGGAACTTTTATGCTTTTGACTTCTCTGATAATGCCATTCGGTTACTACGTGGACGCAGTGAAACAAACAATCTGACAATCAGGACTGCAGTTGCAGATTTGACCCACGACAGTCTATCTTTAGATTTTCCAGCAGCTGACATAGTATCATTAATTTTTGTTCTCAGCGCAATCCCACCTTACAAACAGCAACAAGCAGTGAAGAACTTATTCCATTTAGTAAAAATTCGGGGTATAGTTTTTGTTCGTGATTACGGTATCAACGATCATGCCATGCTTCGATTTGGCCGCGAGTGCAAATTGGATGAGCGGTTTTATGCAAAACAGGATGGAACGATGGCTTACTATTTCAAATTAGGTACGATTTTCCGCATTTATCTATATATTATATACTTAGCATACCATGATTTTTAAAAAAATTTAAACTATTATGGACAACCAATTCAAAAAATTTAGTTTCAGAAGAATTGGACGAGCTATTCATCCAACATGGTTTTCATAAAGTAATAAGTACATATCTCTTACGAAAAACCATCAACCATCAAAAAGATGTTTCGGTTGATCGAGTATTCGTGCAAGCTGTTTACATCAAGCCCTTTTGATGATACTATCTTTTGACCATATCAAAAACTGGAATATTAAAAATATTAAAATATCAGAGCTTGCACTTCTCAGATGTTTTTGATATATCAAGAAATTTAAAACAGAAAGTATCCCAGCAGTAGACCATTAGTAAATCACTATTACATGCAATTTTTATCATTTATTATGTTTATGACTAACAAATCCAAAACATGTGAAAAATTTAGCATGGAACAAGTGATAACAACCTAATTTCCCTAATTTTTACTAGCAAGCTATCTGTAAATGCATACTATCCGCAATTTGGAAAGTTAATGTTTTAAAATTCTTCCCTTTACCATTCATTTATGTTCTGCAATAACTATCATCATTATGCTTAGCAATGCAATCAGCTAATTAGCAAAATACAAATGTAAAATAATGACACCCGTAAACATAGATGTTTTTTCACAGATTTTCTATAGTTAAATATTTTCTCATCTTTTTCTGGTAAGTGAATTTGAATGGTGCTACTTCATTTCACTTTTAATTGTTTCATTTTTGGCTGCCGCATTTTCATATCACGTTTCTGTTCGAGTTTCTGCAAAAAAAAATTCGAAATAAAAACAACAATTAACTAGTACACAACCAAAGTTTTTTAATATTATTAAAAAAAACAATACTTAGATATTCTAATATCTACCTCTAGTCTTCGCTGCTTTTCGGGATCTTCCTCTTCTAGAAGGCGTTGTTTGCGTTCTCTTGTTTTCTCTTCTCGGCGGGCTTGAGCTGCTTCTTGCCTTGCTTGATGTGTTGTTTTTAGGAATGCTTCCTGCACACTTTGACGCTTTTTATCCGCCTGAAAGCATACTTATATTTAGAACTGGGACACCTAAGGAATTTTACCATATGTCAACAAAACAGCTTTATGGGTATATCCTTCTAAAATGAGCAAAAAAAACATCAATGCATAAAAAATGAAAACTATGAACCTTCAGTTTGCCCTCTCTTGAAAGTCGATAACGCCTTATTTTTTCAAAAGTATAAAATACCATTCGCAACAGCGCATCAATTTCGGCCATATCATCACTCATTTTGAAAGCGAAGAATAGCACTCGATTTGTTTCCGGCAACCGTGTAAATGATTCACCACTATAAAATACACTATAAAAAGACTTGCAATTCTCACTTAGTAATTTTTACACCCTAACATGGCGGAAAATTAATCTAGTAATTTTAATTATCTTGTGTTCATTGTGTACTTGCTTCATTTTTGATTCAACTGAACGGAAAAGGATAATGTCATAAATTTTTCCCCTGACTCGTTTAGTAAAATTTAAAACCAATAATCCCATTTGACCTGGATAACGATAGTTAGGTTTTCCGAGTTTTTAGCAAGGATTTTATAAACAATAGATAAATATGAGAAACAGAAAAAAGTAGAACAAGCAACGGTCCTGCGCTGAACCATATGGCAGAATTCGGTTACTGTAAAAAATGTAAAAGTGTTAACAGCGAATAGATATATCGCTAAAGCATAATCATTTTAGGACTAAATCAGAATAGAAAAACAAGCTTGGCTTAGAAAAAGAAATACAAAAAAACGGCGTAGTAGGGTAAATATTCTCTAAAGTGGGTTCCTGAAATGCAGAAACTCACTCCGAAGGTTTATAACCAGAATATTGGTCTGAAAAGTGGAAATAGTCGATGGCGCTTTCGTATCTTCGAAATACTGATAAAACCACTGGATCGATAATTGCATTAACAGCTTCAAACATTTCTGCATAAACTACAATCGAGGAAGGAAGTCCTAGTCTATCCACTCCCTTTTTTTCTACTGTAAATAAACTCTGAAAATTTACACTTTGCATTACAGAAGTATTATTTTCATTAAATATGAAGTTAAAAAAAACAGAATCAAAGAAATCCTACAAGATCCATTTTTTCTTTGGCCGCTTTAGCCACTGATTTTCGCTGTCCAATAGCAAACACAAATGAATCCATTTCATTGTTGTCCACATCGATACGTATTATAACCTGGAACCACGTTTTCCGTTTTTAGTAAAAAGTAAGGCTGACTTTCTCAGATGACAACAATTACAAACCTTATCTTCCTTCGGACGAATAAGATTCATGAGAACGTGAATTAAATCCTGCCGTTTCAGCAGTTGCAAAGTAATTAACATTCCCTGACAACCAACTCGACCTGAGCACCTGAAAGTACATCAGAGTTTCCTTCCATATAATTGTGAAAAATATATTAATAAGTGTCGCATTATTTACAACAATAGTTCCGTTCCATCTCACTCACCGTATTGCTGGAACACTCAATTACTGTATCAGTGAAAAAGATTGTAGCAAACCTATAGAAAAGTGAGGCATAAATTATAGACAGTGGTTTGTACCAACCATCGTGTGGATTAAATAAACTGGTTAGCGGTAATTTAAAGAATATAAAGCAAAAGATGGGAAGAGTTTTAACTTGTTAGCTACACTAATGTGTAGCTAACAAGTTAAAACTAACAAATCAAAGAGTATAGGTATTACTGAAAAAAACCAAAGCCACATAAATTATTATAGACTTAAAAGACAAAAGACACAAATAAGATCATTATCTAAAAAAATAAGCTCAAGGATAATACAAGAAACTTGCCAAATAGTATACACAGAATCAGTTTCTTTATGCATATGGCCTTCTCTCAAGTCTTCTGATGTTCCATCATCTCCTACAAGTGTAAACTGTTCTTCCAGAAGTGGCGTTACATCCATAAACCACTTGTTCGCAACGTTTCGATTTTTGGTACGACCGAAAATGTAATTTAACATATAAACTGCCAATACTGCTAATATTAAAGCTTCCACCTGATAAGATGCCCAATTGGAGCGAAAATGAGCCGGTACCTAAATAAAGTTCCTGTTAATAAAATGGAATGACTAAAAAGAAATAATCTATTCATCACTAAATCCTAACGTGAACTGAAAATCTGTATACACAAAAACTTTATACTAGAATTGCATTTATTGGATAAAATGATGGAAAAAAAGAAAACGAGTTGCATACATCAGCAAATCTGAGCTGTGGCGAGGGTTCTGATTCAGTCCTTTGCGGATGAGTTTTTTTTATAGGCTCCGAAAATTCATCTTCATCAATAAACTCATCGTCATCACTATCATCCTAAAATTAAACGTTATTTATAATTATTTATAATCAGCTGCAAAATATTAAAAACATTGAAAACCTGAGCAAAAGTCTGTTAAGGATTGCTTGTCACTGTTTTCAAAATATTGAGTTTGTTGAATGCACACAAGAAAATTTTTAAAGGAGTCTCAAATACTAAATTTTTCGTTTAAAGATACTAATAATTAAAATAAATAAATAAGGCAAAATATTACAATGGCCTCTGACTTGTCGCCAGTGGCTTTGTTAGCTTCTCTATCTGGCTTCAAAGTAACTTCTTGATCACTCATATCCTCCACTTCCATATTTTCAAATTCCGCAAACTCATTATCCATTTCTACGGCTCCGCTACTGTATCGTATCAATTGAACACTTACTGCCATCCATATTATTACTAGACTATTCATAAATGCCGACCACATTATAACATCTGCAAATTCACTAATTTCAATCAAGCAATTATACTGCAAATTTTTCAATGAAATATAGTATTTCAAATTGCAAAACTGCTAAGATCATTAAACACAACTTTATGGAATAGAAAATTATAGAAAAATATTTCGCCAAATCTCATACTCATTAAGTTAATAAATAAAATTTAACATCGATCACATTATTGCCAACGATATGAAAAAAAAACAGCGTAAAAAACCTAACACAACTACCAAAGATCGATTCACTTTCATACTTCAAATGATATCTAATATTACAGTTTTACAAAATCAAACCAAAATGACATCATCACCACATCTCTTCCCTGTATCATCTTACTCATTAAAAATAATTTTATAAAACCAATTTTAAAAATAGGTTAAAAATAAAATGACCGCACAGGCCCACGACCACTATCCCTTCCCCGCTCCCATACCTCCCTCTTTCATTATTTAATAATAACAAAAAACCATGACTGATAGCTAATTGATCCAAAACCCATGAAGGGACTATCACGCAACTTTTAAAAGTGAACGTAAATTTGTGATAAATGGTTGAATGAATAGGGTAATAGCGGGGATTAATTTATTGTAGAACGTGTAGAGTAATGTGTAAGTAAAGAAATTTTTTGTTTGTATGAGTAAATAGTAATTATGATAATTACATATAATAAATGATTCTTCAGGAGCGAATTTGTGTATTCATAAAAATGGCTATAGAAGGAGTGGATAACGATGCACAGGTAAAGTCATCTGTATGCTTTTTAATTTTTTAATAAGAAAAAAAAAACATATCAATAGTTTCAATTTCGAGGGGAAGAGGTTTGATGTCTACTGCCTTTAGAAGAGTCCGAAATTTCAAAACTTTTTCATGTCAGCTCTTGCGATATTTTATTGTATTGCATTATATTTGGAAATTTGAAACTAGTTTCAGTCGAAAATAAATCTACTGATACATAGCAGTAAGCTTATTTGAAGTACCAGATTATAGTGCTTCAGATGATTGAAGATGATTCATATCTGATACTCTTAAGATCCAGAATAGGAAAGAACAGTTGAAAATTACTTATGAAGTTAAACGTGCACTTAAATTTGGTATGCTATTTTATAACCATATTTCTAAGCAATCGTGCATTATTTTTAGTTTTAAAAAATAATTTTTTGCGTTGTAAATTTTAGGGGTCACTGGAACAGTTGAAAATTGCGGGTCGTAAATATATGGAGAGTTTAAATAATTCAAGCTCGAAACAACATCAGATAACTGCACAGTTGCTTGCTTCTGCACTTTCTAATATTACAGGTATTTCCGTTCGGTTTTTTTGCTCTTCATTCATTCTTGAAATAATTAGTAGTGATATATTGGTAAAGTTTTGCAAAACACGAATGCTTTATGTAAATTATTCTTATAGATATTCCTGACCAAATAAGGAAGCCATTGATTCGAATAACAATCATAACATGTTTTACTCGATTTACAAATCGACATTCACAAGCTTCACTATACCTCGTTATATCAGCTTTTGTGCGTGAAGATCCAATAATTTCTATGAAACACGTCGCGGAAGCATATGCATCATTCTTCGAACTCCATATAACTCCTTCGTGAGTTATTATAAAAAAACTTTCTAAATATTTTAATTTTTTCAAATCTGAACGTGGAGTATAAGAAATGAATTCTCTCGTTATTTTAGGCGATGGCTAACTGCAAATTCAGTTCTAGCTGTCAAATGGCTATGTAGTCTCTGTAATTTTATAGATCTAAAAGACGCCAATATCTTCAGCAGTTATGTTAGTTTAACATATCACATTAATTTCAAAAAGCAGTCATTAACTCATTAAGTTAACAAATAAAATTTAACATCGCTCACATTATTGCGAAAAAAAAAACATAACTACCAAAGATCGATTCACTTTCATACTTCAAATGATATCTAATATTACAATGTAAAAAGTACTATTCACAAAGTAAACCAGCAGTTATTAGCTTTTGATGTAAAATTTAGTTTATGCAGCAGTTCACTTACTGTTGCAAAAATGCCTACAGTCTGAAATCGATCCATGATTTGTTTTTAGATGTCAGCATTGTTGTCAACTGCATCACAGGTTTGTGCCAGTAAAAAATTTGTGAAGATTCAAAGTAAGATGAAGACTATCTTTAATCATGCCTTGCTGAAAACAGTTTTGGAATGGATTCGTAATCATTACACATCCTGGTCGTCTTCCGGAGTAAACGTTCTTGCTCTTCTAAGTCTACTGCCTTGCACTGACGAACATTTCAATTTCTCATTTTTTATCAATGTATACGCTGCAAACACTCTTCTTGCGAAGCATCGTCCAAGTGTTCATGTTGTGGTGCGACTTTTTTAGTTTCCTTTTTTTTTTTCTGAGCATGATTGTTCGTAGTAATTGCGCTGTTCGAAAAAACATGGAGATTTATAAAATTCTGAAAACTAATACAAACAATGAGATTAAAAGTAAAGAAGAATGGATAAACCAGTTACCGAAAAATAAACACATTCTCGTGCTTGTGCATTTTGCAACGTTGCAACTGGTACCCCTCATCTTATAAATTACATCCTCATGAGCCAAGAAATTTAGCAGAGGATTAAAAAAATTAAATTGGAACATGTTATTAGCTCTATTGATTGTATTAATTTACCAGATAGTGGCGTAAATCAATTTATAAAATGTATAGGAGTTAGAAAGATTACTCCGGAAACAATAGATGTTGCTTTACTAATTAAACAGGAAAAGACTATTCTAATAGAATATTGTTTTCATTATCCAAATTCTTCGAAATCAGTTTTAGGCTTCACAGCAGCGTGTTTTTCCTTTATTAATAAGCGAGGTACATTGATGCATTGCTATTCAATTTATTACAGGTTGCTAGCTCTAAGATATTCAAGCAGATAAATTCGGAAATGTTCCGGGATGAAATTATGTGTGTTGTTAAGAAATCCATGTTACGTAATCCTGAAATTGCGATTTTCGGTTAAAATTTATTTATTGCGATTTCAACACTCTTTTGCAAAATGGTGCTAAATAACAGAAACATTCGATTTCTTTTGCAAAATTAATAAATATTCTGTACTAAGTTTCCTGCTTTTTTAATACTGCTTCAAAAATGTTACAAATTTTGTGTTAATTCTTGTTATTTGCATTATTTTATATTATTGATGGTTTGGTTTTAGGAATTTTATATCTTCTGGAGTCGTTAACAATCGATTTGTCATCTTTTGCGGTTGATATTTATAAGATTTTATCGGGTGAGTGCTGCTTCAAATAAACGGTTTTCCTTAAACAGCCACTTTTTTCTGTGAAATAAAATTCATTTCCTATATTTTTTCAGCGTCGTTAATTGCGTCGGTTGATGAAATTCGCAGTCATGCTTCATTGTGTGTTGCAGCAGTAGCAAAGAAAATCATTAGTCCTGAAGTTTTGAAGAGATTAGTTGATGGAGTATTTGGAACTTATTCAGGTTTGTTAAAATCATTTTTCAAAAACTTGTTTAAAAAAAGAATATGAAAATTGTTAGTCCTTTGTTGAAAATTAGATTGCCAAAAAAACTGTAGAAATGGGAAGAAAGGCAAATTATCTGAAATCTGACAAATAGTTCTTTATATTTTCTTGGAAATTTGGAAGAATGAATGTTTGAGGATCTGACGGGAGAATCGCTACTGTTGACCAGCGAAGTACTGTCCTGGAAACTTTAAAATTGATAAGCTGTCACGGAGTAAAGGATAAAGCTGAGTGCGACATTATTGGTTCCGATATATTGCAGAGGTTGAATCCGTTATTGATTTCTGAAGGTTTTCTATTTCTTTGCTAATTAATTCGAATTACCGTCGTTTATTCATGTTATTTTCAGATGTAATGTGTTACTACCATTATGATTATCTTTATTGCTATTTCTAATTATTATTGTCATGATGAGCAGGAGAGATTTGTATACAAAATTGAGACTTGTAATGGTTCAGTGCTGTGTATTTGTAGTGTAAAGCGTTTGTTTTCATATTTATTTCTATAAGCTGCATAAAATGAAAACCTACGACTTTTTATGTATTCAAGGAAAATTAGAATTTAAGCAATTTTCAGTCCATCAGGTTGTTTTGGAAGCTATGTGGAAGGTGATTTTAGCATGGTCAGCGCAAATTACAAATTTGAATGAAAAGTTGCAACCGATTTTCATGGTTTTTTTTTGATTTTTTTGCTATACCTTTTTCATTATTGCCATAAATTTTTTTCAGCAGTCAATTTTGGATTATGTATAATAATGTTAATTTCTTCAGGCCTCCCTGAAATCATCAAACCGTTCAATAACATTGAGAAGTATGGTAACTCTGTATAATAGTGATAATGGTGAGAATCGCTTTCTTTATTTTTCCTTTTTTATTGGTTTAAACAATTTCCTGAACTCTCTAATGATTCCATTGCTTTTTTCTAGTTATTTTAAAACTTATTGAATCCGTTAAAAAAACGAATCGACATCTAATTTAATAGAAATTCTGCGGTTTTTAGGTAAAAAAATGAAACTAAGTGGTGATTTGCTGAGACTAGTTTTCGATGCCTATAAATCACGCTCGAATGCTGGTGATTTTGTGGTTACATCGCTTTTGCTTCTAGTTGATGAAAAATCTCAGGAAAATGTCCAACAGACATTGAAAAATGATTTCTTTAAAGAAAAATTTATCACATCTTTTAACACTTCTGGTAAGTTTTCAATTTAGATACTTTATCTACATTCGTAGGAATGTTTTTTTGCTTCTTCGGTCATATGTTCATGATAATTCTATATCTTTTTTCCTTTCGTGGAAGTAACTTTCTACAATAAAATATTTTTCACCTGTTTCATTTAATCCATTTGATTAACTCATTGTTTGTTTCGTTTTAGATATCTTATATACAGCAAAATTATCAGATTGGATGATAAGAAATACCAAAACCGAGGTTATTTTTCTCCATGATTTGAGACAAATATTGCTTTCATAATTCGTTTTCTTTGTGTAGACAAACATTGCTTTTATATTTAATGTTTTCTTTGTCATTATTCATTCTTGATCGTTTTTTATAGGATTGGAGTGATCTCCGAAATGTGTTCTATGTTTTATTCACGAGTCTTTTCTGGCCGGATTATGAAGTTCGCAGAGGTGCCAATGATATTGTCAAGAAGTGTGTTGTCGATAAAGGCAACACATTTTGTGCTGCTTTCTTAGATTTTTTATTTTCCTACGTGACTTCGGGTCTTGCACAAGAGGTGAAATTGCAGTTTTTGAAGTTAGAATCCTTTGAACTCAAAATGATAATATTTTTGAAGAGTAACATTATCACCCACCAACAGTTATTCTATAAACTAATGAATGAGGGAAATAGTTGTAAAACTAAAACTTTTTCATTCTCTGTCAGTGTATTTGAGTCCAATAAACTGTCTGTTTATAACTTACATAAAGATCATAACATGTCACAGAAAGCAATGAAAGTCTCGAAATGATTTCGTAATTTTGTAAAGCTTAGGCTTATAAAAAAATGGCAATACAAAATGAAGAAAATGAACGAGTTCTTGGTGGCAAATTAATAGCTGCAACAGTGCGTGAAGCTATGATTCCTTTCAATGCAACAGAAGAAAATTTTGATTTGGGCATCCATGTCCTCACATCCGGACTTTTAATGTCATGCAGCTTACAAGTGGGTAAGTTCTCTCTAAATGATCGTATGTGATGGATGATAAGGTTATGGCGAAACTTGATTTTTTCGTACGCAGTAAAGTGTGTGACATTATTATGTAATATTGTAATGTTCACCCTTATACACAAATTATCAAATATTAAAAATTTAGGACAATGAAATTATGTAGATCGGCACTTATTAGTAATGTTCTGTAAAATATTTTCTACTCTACATATCAAGTTATCATTGTTTTTTTAATACCGTCAGCCTTGAGTTAGTTTTCAGCTTTCGATGATAATGAATTTTGTGAAGCGAAACGTGTGTTTGCATATATATTAATGGATAGTTTGGCAATCCAACTATTTTACCTATTTCAGTAGAAAGTGATCCTTGTTGTTGGAATCGCTGGATAAGTTCAATAACTAATGTTGAGCGTTTGCTTGATGAAACTGGTGCTCGGCTGATGATGGATCGTATATTCTCTACAAACGATACAGTAATTCAGTGTAATACGATTAGAATGTTGATGTCAAGTGGCGAAGTGACACAACATATTCGTGGTACAATTTGGGCATATTGCATTGATCTATTGAATGAAGTCGACATTGAACGGTAATTATTTCATTGGGAACTATTTGTTTGATTAATTGACTTCCTGCAATTATTTCAAATTTTGCTGTTAAGCAGATTGTCCTTAGTAAATGGCTTATAATAAGTGATTATTCATGGATTCAAAGCTTTATTTAAAATTCACTTCGATTCAAAATTACTAGCTACGTGTTACAATTACAGATCGGTGTTACAAATTCCAATATTCTAATATTTTCCAACTTTTTTTACTGCATTAGAACTGTTGATATTTAGATATGTTACAATTACGGATCGGGAAGTTGCAATTTATAATACGCCAGATGGAGTTCTCTATAATACGGCTGTTTTGGACTTAAATTATGAGAAAGAATTTGGTGTGAAAAACGTGAGAAGAGAAAATAAGGTGTGAATATAGCAGCGGCTTTTTTGAATCTATTTTTCCCTCATCAACAATTATTTGCACTTGTTTTCGGATTTTCATGGCATTTTATATGTCGAACATTGCCTACGTGGTTTTTCAGGCTTACAAATATAAAGATCAATTGTTGGAAGCACAACTGAAAAAAGAACTTGCTGAGAAAAAGCGACAGGAAGGCAAATTAATTCCTCAACAAGAAAAAGCGAAAAAGGAGGAGTTACTTATTGAAAAGGTTATATTTTGCAAGTGGGAAGAATAAATTATAGTTAAAACGTAGCTTTTTGAAAAATGAAGAAATTTTTCAGAAAGTTAGAGAAGAATTACATGACTTATATTTGAAATGCAAGAAATGCACTGAATCACTAGCAGCAGCGGTTACCGGAGATCCAATTGGTTCAGCGAAATATGTCCATTTACTGCTTACGATTGTTATTCCATTATTGAGATCTCCTCTTGTATCATCTTTGGCTTATAATGTTTTTCGTAGTTTTCGTAATGCAGCTTTTGATCCATCGGAAGATTATTTACGTAAGTCTTTTCGATATTGTTTAACGACATCCATTTTTTCAACACATGACCTTGTTTTATATGCTTAATTGGCCATTTAATATGGGGATGCTAAACCTTAGCTTTTAGTAAGTCAAACTGAAAAAAAAGTAAGGTAAAAGTAAGGTAAAAGTAAAAAGTAAAAAAAAGTAACAAACTGAAATTATATTTTGTCGCTCACATATATCATTCCTATTCCACGTAAAATTGTTTGGAAAGATGTAGAATTTATTTGCAGATGAACTCATACTGCATTCATCAATACGCGTGTTGCGCTCAGTTTACATGGATGCAGCGTGGAATCAAGAGTTGCTTACCGTCCAGGTGGAAAGGACAATAGCATTACTGACAAGTAACTTTTACAGAATTTTTGCGTGGACCTCAAAGTGCTGGAGTGATTTAGAAGTGTCTGTGGTATATTTTAGCTCGATGTGCGTTGCTCCCGGTCCTACTCGAAGATGAAGAGCCTAATGGGGAAGAGATATTGGGCACTGATGATGGAGAAGCGATGAATCTCCTCAAATTCAATGTATCTTTTCCACTCATTAATGCAGTACTAAGGGATGAATCGTTTCCTTATGCATTACGACTGAATACCATGCGACTATTGTCTTCTGCATTAAAAATCAAATTCATCGATGTATGTTACAATTAGTTGTGAAGCATTGTTTCATATTTTCTTTTCATTTGGGAGATTTTATTTTTTTTCCTTTTTTAAGAGATTCTTTTTAATTTCTAATTTCCAAGAGATTCTTTTTAATTTTATCATTATTTACTTCCATCTACACAAGAATGGCATAATTCAGGATGAGCCTATGTTTTTTATGTATTTCATAGCATTATAGGCAAGTTTATTTATTATGCCGATTATTGATGTAACTGGCTGAATTTATATATATGAAAATAATGTATTCATTTAGGTATTAAGGTTTAGTTTATTTTTTTGTCGACGTATGGATTTTTATTTGCTTTTTCAGGTTAATGAAGTAAAGTATCTCCCTCTAAATTGGCTCTGTTCACTTCTGCTTCATATCTTAACAATAGACACTTCGGAATTATATCACATTGCGAAAACATTACTTCAGACTTTTTGTGAACTATTAGATAAATGTCCGAGAAAAGATTTGCAACAGGCGGAAATACTTGGACCTATCATGCGATGTTTGCTGAATAAAAATGATCAATTAAGAGAATGTGCTCTTCTGGTATGTCTCAATTAATAAAAGTGGCTGGAAATGATTTTAGAATTTTTTATCTCCGAGTTGATTTGGCTGGAAAAGTTTTCTTGGTTATTTTTTTATAAATAAACTAAATCAAGAACTAAAATAACTTTCATTGGATCGGATGTGCTAGTTGAATAGTGTCTTCTGCTGTGTGATATTTCTTTTTAAAATTAAATTTCTAGCCGATGGTTTTTTATGCATTTTAGGCACTCAGTCGACCACATGATCTTTACAACGACTTGAAATTAACTCAAGATGGTGCACAATTTATGGCAACGTTTACAAGTCGTATATTTATTGCTCGAAACGACCCGGTGAAAAAATGTGTTGATTTAGCTAACAAGATTTGGCAAGATAAAAACCTTTCCGCCACCACGTACTTGTTTCTATCATTCAATTTAGTTTTTTTTTTCAAAATTTGCGTCTTGGCTTAAAATAGAGATTCTTTTGATAATTTTAAATTAACCTCGATGATATTGCTACTGGCGTTGATTGTCATCTATTTCTCTGCTTTCTTTTTTTAATGTTGCAAAATATCATAATTTATTTTCCAGGGACCTACTTGAAAGTATTTTGAGTAGCGTAACTTCGGAACATAGCTTCTTGAGAAAATCCGCATCAATTGGTCTAGGAAAATTGTGTAAGGAATTTCCGAAGATTCTGCAGCAAACACTGGATAAACTTGATGTTTTATATTCAGATTACCGAAAAGTTCGTTTTCTTTATATTTAATTTCCAGTATTGTGATCTATTTATGACATTTTATACTTTTTTTACTGTGACTAATATATTTTAGATCCGACCACCAGTTTATGATGATATTGGACGAGTAGTCACAGGTCCTGTAGATTTATGGAGAAATCGAGCAGGTATTGCAGAAGCTCTGCTTGTCATTGCTCCTAATCTTCCTCACAAGCTGGTGATGAATTTCATCAAAATCGTAATCCCCAATGGAATCAATGATTCTAGTCCAGAATGTCGAGAACTGATGCAGAATGCTGCGATTGAAGTTATCAAAATGGTAATTTTGTCTTGCCTTATAAAAAATAATCTTATCTTAACACAAATGAATTTGTGTTTGTTTCTAGCATGGAGAAACAGAAATGGCATCGCTTTTACTATTTCTTGAAGAAATGCTAAGCTCAACGTCAGACGATAAAGACTTTGACAATTTGCGCCAAGGTTTGGTCATAATGTTGGGTACGTTAGCACAGCATTTAGATCCGGCAAACGAAAAAGTGCGCATTATAACATCTCGTTTAATCGAAACACTCTCGACGCCATCACAACAGGTTAGTACAGCAGTCTAAGTTGTGATTACAAGCTATTTAAATATAAATCAGATAAAGATTTAACATTAAGACCGTTATGATAATCTAATGACAAATTTTTGCACTTTGTACAAGTACACAAAAATATTGTATTAAAATATTGAATTGTGAAATCGTTCTCTTGATTCAATAATAACCTACTTCTCTTTTAGGAGTAGGCTGATTATCTAGCTCAAAATGTAAATTTTACTATTGATGAAGGATAGTATTAAAAGTATTAGGTCAATGGAAAGTTTTATAATTTCAGGTGCAAGAAGCGGTGTCCAAATGTTTGCCAGCATTAGTTCCAGCAATCAAGGATCGTGCCAAGGAACTTGTTTCAACACTGTCATGTCTCCTTGTTGAAGCTGATTCGTACGGCGAGCGACGAGGAGCAGCATACGGAATTGCTGGGCTTGTTAAAGTATCACTTATTTTTTTCTTTTTATTTTTGGTAAACATATCTCAATCAAAATGACTTTAGTTACTTGATATTGTCTTTATATTTTCTAAATTTAAAAAAAAAATCAAGTTTATATATCTGGCTAAGAGTGCTTTTTGGTAATAGCAAGTTGGGTGAGATGCTGGGAGAATTTAAAAAACATCATGATGGCAGTTGCTATTAATTTCATCCACTTAAAAATTAGTTGTTGGAGTTGAAAAAAGAACTAAATCTTTAAATTTATGATTTTTATTCATAAATTATTCATAGGGCCTCGGGATGTCTGCAATGCGTGAGCTAGAACTGATAAAATTCTTGCAAAATTCATTGGCAGATAAGAAAAACGCTCGTCATCGTGAGGGTGCTCTCTTAGCTCTTGAACTTCTTTGCAGGTAAGCCGTAAGCTATTTATTCTGTAAAGCGCGCTCGAATTTTAATCTTAAAGCCCTCAATTTATCTTAATTCGGTCCTAATTTTGCTTGTAATTGTTTCAAAAGTTTTGGAAAACCTGTTACATATTCGATTTTTTAATAACATAATTATGAAAGCGCAAACAAACAACTAGATTTAAACAACTAATGTAAACATGCCTTTCTGATTTACTTCTGTAATTTTATGTAATACTTATCTAAAATAGCCAGTAGTGAACTATTTTACTAACATTTTTTCAGCTCAATGGGCAAATTATTTGAGCCTTACATTGTGCAACTTTTACCATCATTATTAATTTGTTTCGGTGATTCCGACGATAACGTTCGTCGAGCAGCAAACGATGCAGCACAATCCATGATGTCTATGCTTTCTGCTCATGGTGTTAAGCTAGTAAATATAAAATATTTTAGAGTAATTTTAGGAACTAAGAGACGATATATGAATAGGATTTAAATTTGGGTTTTTTAAAGAAGTTTAAAAATTGTTATTTGTATTATAAACTTTTCAAAGGCTGCAGTCACTTTATTAAGTTACTACTTGGTGCATTTTTAACAAATAGATTGATTAACCTCTGCTAGGTGTTGCCGTCACTTCTAACTGCATTGGACGAAGACTCATGGCGTACGAAGTGTGCTTCTGTGGAACTGTTGGGGTCGATGGCATTCTGTGCACCCAAACAACTCTCAGCTTGCTTACCAAGCATTGTTCCTAAACTTATTGAAGTGCTGACCGACTCACATTCAAAAGTACAGAAATCCGGAGAAAAAGCTCTAAAACAGATCGCTAATGTTATTCGGAATCCAGAAATTCTTAGTAAGTATTATACATAATTTATGTTCATTTCGTAGGAATTTTTATTTTTTCACAAAATGGTCAGCTTTAATATGTGTGTTTTAATTTCGTTTATTAATATTGTTATTTTATTTTAATTTTAACCATATTTCTCTTTACTTTTTTATGATTCTGCAACAGTTATGGTATTATATCACCACTAGAATTTTTATGATAAATTTTCTTCTACTTTGTTTTTTAAGGCATAAGCAATCAGTTGTTAACGGGTTTGACTGATCCAGCTGACAAAACATCCTCTTGTTTACAAACGGTAGTGAATACAAAATTCATACATTACATTGATGCTGCTTCACTCTCTTTGATAATGCCTATTGTTCGTCGTGCGTTCAGTGATCGATCTTCTGAAACGCGTCGTATGGCTGCTCAAATAATCGCAAATATCTATTCTCTAGCGGATAATAAAGCATGTTTATTTTACCTATTTTTAATGCTTTACTTGAGCTTGAAAGTATCATTCACTACTCAAATGAGTAATACGCATTTTTTATGAACATTTAGCAAATATTTAATACTATTCTTTGATTATAATATCGGAAATGTTCAGGATATGGAACCGTATCTTGCTGGTCTTTTACCGGGATTACAGAAAGCATTATTAGATCCTATCCCAGAAATACGTACTGTTGCTGCAAAGGCTCTTGGTGCAATTATTGGATATTCTGTTGGAGATACTGCATCAAAAATGCGTGAGCAACTTATACCATGGCTCAAGGAGAAGCTTATTTCGAATACAAATGCCGTAGATCGATCGGGTGCTGCACAAGGACTAGCAGAAGTTAGTGGATAAAATTAGTGCTTGAAATATTTGATATTTGTTAATGTTAATGTACACATAAGTACTTTTATTAATTAGGTAAATATAAATGGAGCTTTAACTTGATAATAACCAGTTTTACTTTCTTACTTATTTTTAGAGGACGAATAAAGTGTTCATTTATTATGTGAAGAATGATCACTCTTTTCATTTTATCATTTTATTATCCATTGTTCAATACTTCATTTTTTTTTCTAGGTTCTTAAAGCAGTAGGTGAGGATCAGTTAGCAATGGTCATGCCCGATATAATAAAAACAACAGAGTCAAAAGAGGCAACACCAGAAATACGTGATGGTTATATATTGATGTATATTTATTTACCTATGGCATTTGGAGACCATTTTGTGCCATATTTATCTCAGGTTCATTGTATTATTTATATTTCTTAGAATAATTTATAACAGTGAGCAAGATATTTGTGTGAAATATAAAGATTGGCTTAATTAAGCAGGGACTTAAGGATTTCTTTGTATTAGACTTCTATTTGCTTTAACTTTACCTCAAATATTATTTTCAAACTGTTGTAGTTTAAGTGTAAGTTATGGCAGGGAAATTCTATTTAGCGAAAAGGTTTTATAAAATGTATAATGTTTTCACTTGTATCGGTGCAGCAGACAATATAGATCAAAAACTTTTAGGTCATACCAAGCATATTAAAAGCGCTGGCAGATGAGAACGAATATGTACGACATAGCGCATTGAAAGCAGGTCAACGTCTGATTGCGATGTATTGCGTGCATGCTAGACGACTTTTATTGCCGCAGTTGCAAGCTGCCTTGTTTGATGACAATTGGCGAATTCGATTTGCAGCAGTTACACTGATCGGTGATTTCTTATTCAGCATATCAGGTTAGTATTTTGTGATTCTTTGCTCCCAAGTGGAGACTTTCAAATCGATTGATCAATTAGTTGATTATGGAAATTTGCTAATGACAAAAAGTTAATATATTTGAAACCTGCTGATGCGAATCATATTAGTAATAAATTGTGAAGAAGTGTTATATTCCATAACGGGAAAAATGTTTTATAAATCAACTGTCAGCAGTAAATCTTAAAAAATGAAGGGCAGCGGCTGAAAGCACAGTGTCAAAGAAGCTTGCAACTTAGGTTCAAAATCATTATTTTCGTTACTTACGAATTTATTTTTCGGGGCTTTGCTCTTTGCACATCAGATGGATAAGTTTATAGGTGTTAGCGGGAAAATGACGTCAGCAACTTTAAACGAGGATGATACGATGGGTATGGAGTCAGCCGGGAAAGCTATTGTTCGACAGCTTGGACAAGCTTGCAGGTATCATAGAAAGTGCATGATTCATAACAAAACTAATTACATTCGGATCAAAAATATTTGCAACACGGAAATGTGAAATTTTTTGGATGGATTAATATGAAATTTGCAGGGATCGTGTTTTAGCAGGTATTTACTTATCGCGTTCAGATATTGCACTCCAAGTTCGTCAAGTTGCAAGTCATGTTTGGAAAGTAAATAGCATTATTTTTTATTCAATTTTTCAATTTATTTTCCATTTGATGTTTGGTCTTGTTCTATTATGGTATAGATCTTGCTATGATCTCTAAGATTTTTCATAGATTTGTCAAATAGTCAAACACTTTATGGTTTTATTCATAAGTAGCAAATGTTAAGGTAGTGGTGGCGAATACTCCACGTACTCTGAAAGAATTGATGAAAACGCTATTTGAAATGTTACTTGTTTGTTTGGCAAGCAATAGTGAAGATCGACAAGTGATGGCTGGACGTTGTCTTGGAGAACTAGTGAAGAAAATGGGTGAGCGAATAATCATCGATGTGTTACCTGTTCTTGAACGTGGTCTTTCATCCGAATTAATTGAACAGCGTGTTGGAGTAGCTATTGCTTTACATGAAATTATCGAGAATTCTACAAAGGATATTGTATTAATGTATTCGGGACAGCTGGTTGAACCAATTAAGAAAATCATATGTGATTCCAATGTGTTGGTACGCCAGGCAGCTGCTACTTCGTTCACATCATTCTATCAAGTATGCGCTTGTGCATATGTATGGTAAGCATCTGGTGCATATGTATGGTAAGCATCTGCTTATTATATGCTTACAATACATATGTATGGGACAGCTATTCTTTTTCTTCAATTCATTTTATATTTCTTAAGAAGAATGTGAATTACTTGGATATTGTTTTATCTTGATAACTATGCGCAGTTATGATTTTTTAATCCGTGTAAATTAAATGCTAGTATGACGAAATTTTTGCTTGAAATCCATTCAAACTCATGAGATTTGGAAAAAAATTTTTTTTAGTTATCTTTGCAAATAATAATTATGATTAAGACTGCTGGTTTCTCGGCGTTTGAGGATATTGTAGCGCCACTTCTAGATGTAAATGTAATATCCAAAGATGACGTATTAGATGGTCTTTCGCAAATAATGCGTCTGAATGGAAGGTAATTATTTCATGTGGTATTCCAACAGAGTGTTCATAGCTGTCAAAATATAAAATTTATAAGCTGCAGATTTATGAAGTTATGCTTGTTTTTTGATTTTGCTGATATTTATTGACCAAGAAATTCATTTCAGGCAAATGCTGCCTTATGTTTTGCCGAAGTTAACACGACCACCAGTAAATGTTAGAGCGTTATGTGCCCTTTCAGCAGTTGCTGGTGATTCGCTTAGTCGAAATATTGCCAGAATCTTGGATTCCATATTAGATAATTGCACTACAGATGAGGTAATTATAGATTTTAGAGTTTTACTTTATTTTATTTTACGATTTATTAAAATTGCTTCTGTGCTGTTAAATTATCGCTTTTGTCAGAAATCGCATGCTTCTGTTCCACTAAATTATGTGTTTCTTTATAATGCCTTATTTTTTTAAGCATATTCTCAGTTATTAACGTCAAATTTTGGCATTTATTTATCACCCTAATTAAAAATCAGTGTTTTAAAAGAAAAGTATTTTTAATTTTTAAATTACTGCCGTAGTATAAATACCTTTATTTTTCAAGGAAATCAACCAATGTTTGGAAGTGATTCTTTCCGTATCAGACGATGATGGTATTGCAGTTATAATTACTACTCTTTTGCAACGAGCAAAATCTTGCAATCATATTCCTTCATCAGCATTAATTCACCTTTTTGCTAAGAATGCACAGGTATTTATTCAAATTTATTCATATTTCAAATTTATTTTTTATCATCTGGTCATATATTTTCAGTTATTAATTCAATATTTCCAAAAATAGTGGCTGTTTCAAAAAATTAAAATATTTTTGACGTGTTGATATTAAGACAACTTTTTTTATTTTACTATCAACTTTGGATGGTGGATTTTTGTTGTAAATTTCTGTTTGCAGTTTAATCTCAGTAATTTTGTGGATCAAATTTTTCCGGGCACGTTGCTACTCTATGATTCAGCAGTAAATGAAGTGGTGGAAAATGCAGTTGAAACTTTGATATATGTTTGTCAAAGTCTGGATCAAAAGCAGATGTTATCTGTTTTATTAACCTTGAAGCAAGCCCTTCTGTTTTTACAAAAAACTGCCGGTGCTCCTTCCATAGCAGGCTTTGCACGCAGTAAGGTATCACTTTCGAGTTTTTTTTTATTTTGGTTATTTAATTCAAATCACCTTGCGTTACTTTTATACTAATTTTTCTAGACTTTTTTGGAGTGAAATATTTAAAGTAAATGGATATTTATTTCTGTTGTTCTGTTCAGCAAATCTTGGAAAAAATCTAGGGTCTTTCTTCTCTGCTACCAATTATTCGAGAAGCTATTCTGTCTGGTAGTGCAGAACTGAAGGAGCAGGCCGCTGAAACTCTTGGAACTATTGTGTCATTAAGTACAGCAGATGCTCTGAAGCCTCATGTAGTGAGTGTTACGGGCCCATTAATACGTGTTCTCGGTGATAGATATTCGCATACTGTCAAGATTTCTATTCTTACAACACTTTCTTCTCTTATGGATAAGGTTTTTTCTTTTATTTTTTTCAAAGTAATTGATTCAGTCCCTATTTTATTCATGAAATTAAACAAATTTTTGCTATATAAACATATCGTTCGATTTTTCGTTCATATATTAACAAGAAATATTAATTTCATTTATTTATCTTGCTAAGAAATTTATTGTTTTTATTTTTGATATTACTTTTCTAAAATTTTTGGTCTTCTAGGTAGGTATGCAGCTGCGTCCCTTCTTGCCACAACTTCAGAGTACTTTTTTAAAAGCTCTACAAGATACAACTGCACGCAAAGTACGACTTTGTGCAGGTGGTGCATTATCACGCTTAATTAGCATTCACATGAAACCCGATCTAATTGTGTTGGAACTCATCAAATATTTGAATGCTTCGGCAGATTATGCGATAATGTGAGAATTTTTAGTTATTTATATATACCATCCAGACCGTTATTTTTGGGTTTTTATATTTTGAAAATTTAAATATACATTGTATTGAATTATTTATAGTGAAACAACATTAATTGTGCTAAGGGCAGTCTTTGTTCGCCTTCAACCAAAAGTTATAAGTGACAATGTTCTTCAAGAAGCCATCAAGATAGCAGAAAAACATCAGGAAAACAATGAAAATTGGGTCGTAGTACAAGCTGCTTCTGCACTTCTTGGTGAACTTGCTCTGAAAATGAACCAAGTGGCAAACATCGTGACTTTAAGTATGTTTACCGTTAATCTTGATTATTTGTTTGGCAAATTCCGGGATGTACGGAATAATAGCGACCTGAGTACTGTTACTTTTTACAGTTCCCGACGAGAGCCACTGTCATTATGCCGTTAGTGTAACTTTACAATACGCATGTTGTACTGATCCACATGAAGTACTAGAAGTGTATGGTATCGAAAAACTACGCACTGTATTTATCAGTGCAATACAATGCGACAAACCAGAAATTGCATCGTCTGCTATACGAGCTACAGCATCCATACTATTGTGGTAAGATTAATTTTTTAAGCATGAAACTAAATGAACTCGGCTAGCTTTTTTATAAAACATCTTTCCGACTTCAAATATTTGACTGAATTACAATGTTTAGTCTTAGTAATGTTTGTTTCTTTATTATGTGATTGACCTCCCACTGCAGATTATTTTTTTTAAAAGGAAATAATTTTTGATTTTTTTTCTCAGGATTTTCATCATATTTGCTGAAATTTGTTAAAAAAGTGAAAAGATTGGATCTCAACATCTTATCGTATACGACGTTGTAAACTTTGAAATGTCTTAATTTTTATTAACGGAGGTTATGATTCCTGAGTTTTATTTACATTGATCTTGCTATTGGTATTTATGCCCAAACAGTTAGGTTTTTGAAAGTCTTAGTTTTTGGACTTAATGTTTCTCCGAATATTTTGTTAACATTTTATAGTTTCTTCTTAAGTTCCTTTTTTTTCAGTCAAGAAGTAATGGATGTACCTCTATTGTCGTCAGTTGTGCGGGCAATAAATCATCCTATCAATGAAGTGAAATGTGTAGCAGCCTTAGGAATCCATTATATTGCGTCAAGAATACTATCCATAAATGAAATGAAGGTTGCTGTTTAATTTCTTCTCAATTTCAACAAGTTTTCAACTTTCTTTTTGCAACAGTGCCTTTGAAACTAGGCTTAATTTAATTTTATTATCTTTAGGTTATTGTTCCGATGATGTTAAATGGAATGAAAGAAAAAAACAGTGCAGTTCGTGCTGCATGTGAACAAACACTTATCGCATTATTTAGACTCAGGGATGAGGATCCTAGATATGATGATTATTTATCTACAGTTGAAGTAAGTTAGGTTTAACTATTTTCTAAGAGAAAAAAGTTTTAACTAAATAATCTTTTCTATAATATCTGTATGAATCTTACTGACAAGCATTCTGTTTGCCCATATCTTCAGAAAACTGGTGATAATGCTCTTCCAAATAGATTAAATGTTTTCTGAAAATCTTTTTTTTATTTGGAATTATGCTGTTTGCATTTCGTTTATTTGTTGCTACTCGGTTATGTTTTTTTTTCGACTTTCAATATGTTAAAGATTTTTTCAGGGAGCAGCAAGAGATGTGCTTGTTGATGCTTACAAAATATTACAAAGAATTCTGAAACAACCAGATCCAGGATTAGAACCACTGTCGGATATTATAAATGTACCATGATATTTAGGTGTTGACTGTTCTTGTTTTTTAATTTTTCTCTCTCTCTGCTATAGGTTCGAAAATTTGCATGTTACATTTAATCTTGATCTGTTATTGTTCATTTGAATTGTTACTCCTCATTTGTTAATAAATAAAGAATTGTAGGTATTATTTCATATAATCATTACTGTTTATCCTACAAAGTAATTGGAGTTTGAATTTTAAAATTCAAACTTTGCTTGTTCTATATGTTAGGCCAGAAATTAATTGGAATTCTTTGCATGCATTATCTAATCCCTTGCTCTACCGTTCGAGATAATGCACATAGATACTTATGTTACAATCTTCCTACGTAATACCATTAGCACTGGTAAGGAAAAATGTGGGTAAGATGTTATAAATTAAATTAACATAATGTCAACTGCATGCAAGTTTTTGATGCGGTGATGCTTTTAAGGATGTCAGATTAAATGATTGCTGGCAACTGAATTCTCGAAAATTTGAGCTCTATATAATATTGCTAAATCAATTAGCATTTGCTCTTTTAGGAACCTTTTTCAAATATACAAATGCTAAAATATATTTTAAAACAAACACAAAAAAAGCGATGGTCAAAAATTGTTGTCAAATTCTGTAAGGTAAATAATATTCGTAGCGTAAGGGAAAATTTTCTATGGGAAAAAATTTTTTTTAGAACGAATTCACGTGATAATAAATTATTTGAAAGTCTTTTGATGGGTACGCGATGTCTCATTCGATCCATAACTGATCTGAAATTTGCTGTTGCTGTTATTGTTTAATGCTTAAAATAATGCAATTGCTAATAGTAATAAATTCCGTTTAATATTAATTAAAACAAAAAGAGGATATTTTAGCTTTTATATGCTTCCTAAAAAAAATTTGAGCGTTACCTTCAGTATTGTTCGTATACCTTACAAAGAATAGAGTATGTTTGTTTCGCAATTTCAATACATTCTTCACACATCCTTCCACAGCTGTTCCGTGTATGTGTATGTGTATGTGTGTATGTGTGTATATGTATGTTGTATGTGTATGTGTGTGTGCATTCAATGAGAGAGTAATTAAAATTTTCATTTGATACTGTTTATTGTTTCAAGTAGAAGCAATTATATCATAAGTGTGATGTCAATGAAGAAAAATATAAAACTTTAGAAAAATTGAATTACGAGAAATGGAAGATTTTAATTTCAATTTACTTCAGCAAAAGTGTCGACAAAGAATGAAAAAAAGCAGCAGTCAAAAATTAGACTGATAAGATAGAAAGGTAATAATATTTTGGATAGCGACGCATTGCTACAAAATTCGTAAATTATCAATTTAGCTACATAAAAGAGTGGTATTTTCAAATCAGTCAAAAAAAATTCATCCACAAAATATCGTGAGAGTTATGCGATTTTCGGATGTTACCATCATCACCACAATATTCTTATTTCTTAATTGTCTCTTTTAAAGTGCTAACAAAAGGACGTAAACGGATCCTTAACAATAAGAGAGAAAAATGAAATTTTTCAGGAACCTTATCAATCGAATATCATTATTTCTCCAATTTCTATTCGAGAAATGCTCCTTAAAATTGAGACTTTAAATTTTTTTGTGATGTCAGATGGAACTGAAAAAAACTTTTTTTTTAATTTTTCAAATACTGGAGATACATGAAGAAAACGACCATAACTTTCCTGGAAAACAATACATTTACAAATTCACTTTTCTGAATTTTTTATAATATCTAATTTATGCAAGAATAAATTATTCATTCATAATAAATCTCTCAAAAAGTTATTATGGAAGCAGTATGATTTGAACTTGAACATGATAAAGTTTGGAATTGTAAAAATTTGCCCGATTTTTCTTGAAATAAAAAATGGAGGATAAAGAGACACAAAATTAATCAATTGAATTAATTATCTTCAGAATTGTAATCAGCCATTCATCACATTCCACATTCCGGATCTGTTCCTCTCTATGACGATAAGGCAATGAATCATTTAGTTGTCAGCTAATGATAGACTGCTATTAATTTATCATTCAAAAGATATCAAAACAATAAATAATTAATTTGAATGAAATAATTCATATTGAATTTTCACTATTTTAGTTGAAATAAAGAAGAATTAGCTGAGAATTAAGAGATGAATTCGTTTGATTTCTCCACCATACTAATATGGCAAATGTAATCATTTTCAAGCGAATGCCACATCGATTGACATCCATTCATTCTTTCTCCTTCTCAAATCGATAAGTGATTAAAAAGCGCTATTGTTCCGATTGGATGAATAAATCCGAATCAAATCATACACGAAATATTTTGTACATTAATAAGCTTTTGGTATCTTTCGATATTTTAATTTCAATGATCTATTTTGAAATTTATATGATTTTAGAAATTAATTTACATTAATTTTAAATTAAATTTTATATAAAATGTGGTGGGTGAAATTTCCAAATATATTCTTCTAATTTCCGAAAGGAATATTTCTCCACCATCATCGGATATTTTTCTCTAATCTCTTCGATCAGATTTTCTTCTCCAATTTACATTTTGAAATATTAAAAAGCATATAATAAGAATGATTTTATCAAATAAATCAGAAAATGAGTGAATTCAGTGAATTGAAATGCACTGTTTTTGCTTGACATTCTTTATCATTTAATTGTTTCAATGCTAATTAATACAAAAAGATACAATCAATATTACCGCTTACCTGTTCTTTATTCTCTTTATTACCGCGTGCTTTTATCTTGCTAATTTCTTCGTTTGACCTCACTCATTCAATTAGATACACTCATGATTTAATTGCAGGCTTTGCAAGCCCTACTAATCTTTTACCTTTCCTTTGAACTTAACCGCCACGTTGTAATGTTTGAAGGCATGCACGCACTAACTTGCAGTTCCAATTTTACAGCAATTTCTATGTTTCTCTATATTTACTTATGGAGCACAATAATCAATCTTCATTAACATAAAGGTCAGACATGACGTCATGTGATTTGTGACGGCTTGAGCAATTGACCCTGTGGCCTAATGGACAAGGCATCTGACTTCTAATCAGGGGATTGCAGGTTCGAGTCCTGCCAGGGTCGTTCGGTGTGGGATTCAGTAAAGACAGCTGAGCCCGCTTCTTTTCGGAATTTTATAGCAAAAATATAAAATGAATGTAAAAATTTAACAGTTTCTTATTGTCAGAAATTTTGAAGTGAAAGATAATTTTATTTTCTAAGAGAAAAATGATTGGTATGTTTCTTAAAGGATTTGAATTTAAGTCAGAATCTCAAAATGTCCATTAAGTCATGGAACAGCATATTATTTTTTGCTAGTTTTCCGGAAAAATTTTTTTCTCAGGTTGTTCGGGGAAAAGATACAAGAGGTCATCCGTATGGAAAGTGTGATAAAAGGATAACCTTTTGAACTATGATGAAATGATCAATGAAAACTATGCCGAATTGGAATTATAAGCATCATTGGATATTAATTTCCTTAACTCTATGACCGCATTTCTCATCACCCTTTGACCTCCTTCTCATCACATTTCCTCCCTCCCTTCCTTCTGATATCTCCTACACCTGTAAATCACGATCACGAAGAATGAGAATGTCAGCTCACTTTCGTCCCGTCCTGTGCTTGCGCTCTTTTATCTTTCATTCGACCCTTTGCGCATTTCTTCACTAAATGACTTATTCAATTCTTCCAGATTGTCTTTGGTACTCTCTCGATTTGCAAATATTTTTGCAAGCAATTGTTTTACAATTAATGTGATCCAATTGGAAAGGTGTAGGATTTGATAAGCGATATGAAGAAAGCTTATGTTAGAGTTTTTTTTTTTTCACGATTGTCTATTGTTATATTTACCTTTTCCCTCGTCTTCCTAATTGTAACCATCGCGTACGTGTGCAACAATTAAAGTCAATCTTTTTCATCTTTTCATCAATATGATGGAAATTCCGAAAGTTTACAACAACAAAAAAAAAATCCAATGGCAGTAATTTTTTATCAAATCTTCATGTTTCAAAATCTTTGCCAACTTTTCCATTTAAATCGTCTTCACTGATATTTCCGCTTTGATAGTTTTTGAGAATTTTTCTATCTGTCAATTTTTCAGAAACTGTAAATCTGGAAACATGTTCGCTAAAAATAGCACAAATCTAACAATTTTTCAATGAAATTAAATAACAAATTTCTGACAAAAAATAATTTTATTATTTGTGCCATTCGGTCCAATAAAACAACAAAATATATTCATTGCGGTTGAAAAGATTTCAATTAATTATGTAACGGTCTCGATTGTTAAATAACAATAAAAATTTTCAGTGCAAAAGTGTTTATTCCGTTGTCCATCATTCGTTTCTATTATAGTGATATATGTTTACCTTGTCAGTGATTACGACATTATCTGCAGTTGTTATTGTGGATAGCTTAATATTGTACTATCCTGTTTATCCCAATTATGTTGTACCCAAACATTTGCGAAATTTCGAACGGAACGCTCCACCGAGGTTTATAATCACCAATTATGCTATGCTATACGAAAAAAAAAGGAGGAAATTTTTATGAGTCAATTTTTAACTTCAATTATTTAGACTATCGTCATCATTGAAGATACTCAAATCTGGCATGCATTAAATTCAGAATTCAATTTTTTGCAGAAATGAAAGGATCTTAAAATCTTCATGATTTCCAGAGTTTTTGCCAAAGATCCGGATATACCATCTTCTGGTATAGTGTTTCTCAAAAAAAATTTACGGAAAAATCTCCTTAATTTTGAAGGTTTGTAGACAACAAGAATTATTTGTTTTTTTTTTCTTTTTTAATTATTTCATCAATGGTAAATAATTTTTCAGTATTATTTATTGTTATAAAATAGATTAATTTTATAACTTTACAGGCAAAACAAACTTATTCCTTAATGTACGTTGATAAAATTTTCATTTTCAAACAATTTTGTTGACTTTCATCTGTGAGCTTTTAAGTTTCACTCGTCTTTGTTCATAAAATTGAATTCAAATAAAAGCTCTTTTTTTTTTTACAAATGTGACATATCATTTAATTGTTGAGTGGAAAATCTGCTATTAATATGGAACAGATACAGCTTTTGTTGGATGTTCTCGCTTTGAGTTATTTTCAGGTTTAAAAAAATATCACAAATTTTTTTTTGTTCTAAAAAATCTAAATGAAAGAAACAAATGACTTCACTTATCACTCTTATCACTCTTCAATGATAATAAGGCATAAAATTTCAATTATAGAACGTTCAGTTGAATCAGATGTGACAGAGAGCAACAATCGACAGAAGATTCATTCAGATCGAAGTGACATTAGAAATCAAAAGCTGGAAGTGGTTAGTAAAGCTGAAGCTGTAAATAGCAAGGTAAATAATCGATCATCTTTCTCATTACTTCTCATTGAAGCAGTATTTGAAATTTTTTCTTTTTCTTCATTCTGGTTTCAAACTATTTTTAATCTGAAATTGAACTATAATTCAAATCTATAATTCTTATTCTCACAAAACCAAAATCATTTAATGTCTTTTAATTGATCAATTCTGTTTAAATGACAAACTTCGATGCTTTGCCGTAAATCAAATAATACTCCTTTTGCTGTACTCACTGTGAGAATCAAAAGAAACAAAAATAATCATGTCATACCATTTTTTCCCCATTATAATTTGAAATGATTAGAAATGTTGTTTCATTGGACTGTTCATTTAATTTTTTTTTTTTAAATGAAAAGCTCACAAAATATTTTGTGGGTTCTGATAAAAGTATCCGGTCCTTAAAACGAATTTCATCGTTATAAATATTAAAATATATAATGTACATAATGTGGAACCGATAAGTCGTAGGCAGTCCATCAAACGATGTCATAATCATTATTGTTCCAATTAATTAATTCCTCCTTCAATAGTTTAATAATATTATGCAATGCCACATCATCGTATTATAAACCTAAGCAAATTAAAATATTCATCTCTTGTGACATCAATAAAATGAAATTATAATAAAGATAATGACTTAAAATTTAGAGAAGAAGATGTTACATTTTCGATAATTTTCTCATCCCATCGGATTACTTTATTTCAGAATACATCAGTGTCACCTGTACTTCCAGTTAAATCAGTTCAAGATGACACACTCTCATCGCATGTGAGCTTTCTATTACATAACTCATATACCTAAAACAAAAAAAGTTTTAAATTGAAATCTAAAAAAAAAAAACAGATGAAAGGTCAGATTGAAGTAAGATTTCTTATAACGCAAACATGAATGTATGCAACTGAAAGTGGGCCAAATGACGAAGTTCCGAACAGAGGAACTTGAATGATATTTCAATTCATTTCAGCAATCAAAAAATGTTTCCACTCGATTTTACACCATTTACGATTCTAAAACGAAGGAATTTGTGACGAGTAATGAGCCAAAATTGTTACGACAGAATGAAAATGGTATTAGCTCGATATTTTCTCTCTTTTTTTGCGATTCTTCTCTGTATAATTTGAAATTGGTGTTTCGAAGCGATGTAAAATTTGAGATTTACTCGTTCCAGCGGAAATTTAACAGTTCGAGTAGTTGTCAGCAATTGACTGCATTAAAATGGTTACAATTTAGTGTTTTTTGAGTTTGCTAAATCGTATGAAAGATGAGAGAAAAAAGATGTTTGTTTGGCATTAAGGATGCAACTAATAATTCTGATTTTAGATAATGAAATAAGATCGATATCAAGGCCATACCATGAGGGAACTGCGCGACTAATTGGAAAAAGCGCAAACAAAATCACTGATCAATTAGGAACCAGATTTTCGATTCCGTTCGGATCAAATCAAAAGGTACAGCGTATATTTTCAAAAATACCTGAATCTACTAAAATTTCAAGTCGGCATACTTCAGGACATAGAATATTTATTGTCGATAGTGATGCAATTATCAAACCCCTAAAATCTTTTGTTTTGCGGCATTAACATAAAGTAATATTCATGCAGCAGTTTGCAATTATAAAAGCGACAGCTGACGGTTCCTTTTATCTCAGATATAAATTTTTTATATTAGATATTAAATTTCAATCACGATGTTATTATATCTTTCATTATTGTTGAAAAAAGTTTTCCTCTTTCTTCGATGTTGTGCCAACGATGCCATTGTTTTGCAACCATTTCTACGTTGAAATATTTCATTTAAAAGGGCGCAAATTAATGGAAATTTTTCTTTGTCCTTGAAGCTAATCGTTTTGCAATTCTTTGCATCACTTCCAAACAGGCTGGTTTGTCTTAATATAATTTATGGTATTGATAATTAAAAATCTTGTCTTCTCCTCCTGAATCTTAAAAAAAGATTATCCAGTCACATAAAATTCTTGTAATAAAGATTCGATAAATATGAATCATTGCAATTGTGCAATTGGTTAGACGTGCCTTTTTTTACTGTATGCATAAATAAATCTACATTGTTATGTATCAGTCATTCTTTTTATTATCAAACGCATTGATAACAGTAAATAAGATCCAAATAAAATAAATATTCAAGCAGATGATATTTCCTATGGTATGACTGTATGCAAATGTCACTGTATTACAAAAATTATTTACGATAGCAAGCAACTGATAAGATAAGTGTTATCGCAGTCATGATATAATTATTTTAAATTTCAAATTATTTGGTTTTTTTTTTTGTAAATATTTGTAAATAAGTTCTCCCTATCGCTACATTGGTGCATTAAAAATAGGTCAAGAAGATAGGTTGTTTATATAAATATAACAAACCTAACAACATAAAAATTTTCGAAAAAATATTATAAAAGCTAAAAAAGTTTTATGGTTGTTTTTAAGCAACAAATCAAACGATAAGTGGGATATTTACTCTTAAAAAATACTGTCAATCGAATAACCACACAACATGCTAATATGACTTTGTTCTATTTGCAAAGAAATGAAATCTTAACCATTACCTACAGATAATTTCCTCCTTTTTCTTCTTATACGCTCTGTTTTACGCTGCTTATAATCTTCAACATTATTAAACCCGATTTTCTTCTCCAATGGTAATGAGATCTCTTTAACTGAACCCAAACAATTTGCAACATATTCATCAATATCAGCAATTGATTGGAGGCAACCTTCATCCACTCTCCCAAAGACAACTGATGACCTAAAAATTATGAAAATCAAGAATATTTCTCGAAATATAAGTGTATAAATTAAAGGGATGGAAAGTACCATTTAAACTACAAGATGTCCACCACGAAAGATTACCTTGTAATACCAAAGATGAAAATTCCATTGTCCTCTACAGCAATGTCGATAATAAAATCCGAACAAGTCAAACACTCGATTTCGAAGTCATTGTTCTCTTGGATGAAGGTAACAATTTGTGCTATTTTACAATGCTCGAAAATCACAGCCAACTTTATGTCCTGCAAATAATCAACTGTTTTTTGATGCTTAAAAATAAACTTTAAATCTTAACAATAATTTACTTGTTAAGGCAGCAATTTAAGTTTAAAAATTAGATCGAATTTCTCAAAAAGGATTTAGTGGTAGTGCTACGTATAATATAGAAGATAAAAAACGAAGAAACTAGTAACTAGTATAAGTATAAGAGACTAATGGTAAATGAGTGATGTCTAGTGTGCAAGATGCTTTTTGGGATGGAAAAAAATTCGAAAAGCTTTTTAGCTTAAATCCAATTAAACTAAAAATACCTTTGAAGAGGAATTCGGAAATATTCTACAATGACGAATCGTCTTTTTCTCGAGGCAATCACAGTGGGCAATTTGCATTCCTTCTGCCATATCCCAAACCCTTAGAGTACCATCACCACCTATAAATTCTTTGTCTGGACAAACATTTAAATTGGGACCATCACAGCAAATCTAAAATTTCAAATATCATTATTACATCCAATCTCATAACATTAGTAATAATTTACCCGAGGAGAAAAGCAAGGTGCCCTTTGACTGAACTGATTTTACGTATGAACTATGACCCAAGCAAAATCGATGTATAACATAACACTCAGGATAACGTGAAATACGAATTTTCCCATCACGGTCGACACTTGTCAAGAATCTTCGATCACTAGAGATATCAATATCCAGGACCATTGATACATGACCCAGCAAAAGTTCACCTTCACAATTTGTTTCATCTGAAAAATAAACGAAACACTCATACAAGAATAAATTTCTACGTGGTTATAAAATATCTGAAAAACATTATTCCAGAATTTCATTAAAATTTCAAGATAAAGGTTCGCGAGCTTTCTTAAATCCTTTAAAATTGCATATCTGAAAAGCTAACTATCATCACTGTGTTCACTGCTTTTGCTCCTTTCTGAATTCTTCCCGTCCAAGTTATACCGGCGAACATTACCCGCTCGATCGGATAAAATTACAAATTTTCCGGAAAGTTCAAAAATCACAGCTGTGGGTGCTTTTGGCAGTTGCAACGCTGGACGTGCTTCTGTCCAGTCATTGAGAACATTGTATAAGAAGCATTCTTTTGATGTGGTGGCAACCGCGAACAACGCACCATCTGCGCTTAGTGTGCTCGCTAGAATCTAAAAATGTTGGAAATGTTGGAAACACAGAACTTTTTAGATGTTGTACAGTTCTTTAGTTTAGATATATTTTGGTTTGTTCAATTTTCACTCGTTACAACTGCTTAATACTTACATCTACTGATTATTTATATTTTTCTACTCGTAGTTTATATTTTTCAATGGACGTATTTGTTTTCGAATGACGTATAAGAACCTCTATCGTCTGATATTTTTGGAAAGACGTGAAAAGAAGAATATTTATCAGATTCCGAATCCTATTTGGATGTGATATTCTGCTTCGGAATTTCTGTACGGAAATATCCTGTGAAAATATTGTATTCTAAATATGTGTAATGACAAACATGTTAGAAATAGACTTATACTAATTCCTAACCACATTCCTTACTATCTCTTATTTTATTCAACAGTAACAAATCAAAAATTCAGCAAGCAAATTACTGACTTGATCCTCTTCCTTTCGATTTGAGACTGATGCATTCTTGAATGACACTACGATTTCTCGGCACAGTTTCAACTTTGAAAAGTTGCTATCGACTTCAAAAGTAAATTCAAAAATATTCCTTCCCACAGCAATGTATAATCTACCGTTGTGATAATGAATTTGGGCCATTTCTTATAAATATAATCCTAAACATTGAAAGAATAAGATTAATTCAAAAGAATACAACAAGTATTTATCCAGTTCGGAGAATTGAAACTCTTACGGTATTTTGAAGAATTTCTCCCATTAAAATAAGACAATCCTAATGTATCGCAAATCAATCCTAACAATGTCCAAAGTCATCCAAAAACAAATACTACCCTCCCCACCCTCTTCAACATAAAACAACCCAACCCGAGTGTCAGCTTGACCTTTAATCCCATGACAAACCTCTCCACCTCTTCGTTACAATATTCTCACTGAGCTTGAAAACGCAATACATTTAAAGAAAATATACTAGTACAGACAGTTATACAGTTCCAGAGATAACGAAAGAAAATGTGAAAGGTAGCGAAATAACGCATGTCGAAGTGGATTAGTTGCGATGAAGATAGCACGTGAGTGGCTTGAGTTAGGAAGGTGGTAGGTGTTGAGATGGTTTGGAAATAGTATGCTCTCGGAGAGTGAAAAGACGTAAGAATAGCATGAGTAAGAGATTGAGAAGGAAATGAGGTAGCCAGTGTTGTAGAGAGTTCGGATAGCAGCATGGAATATTCCGTAGCATTTTTTTTTTTCGTTCTTTTCCTCTCACTCTTCAATATCGGTCCATCAACCATCTGTTGTTCATGTTTGGCAACAACAGGATGATTAGAATAATCATTAAAAGGCCAGTGAACGGAGGATGAATGATAAGGATTGATCAATTTCCCATTACAATTTTGCGAAATTAAATCACAGGACAGACGATAAGATGAAATGAGACGGTAAAGCTATCAGCGTGGGAAATAGTGCCGTGGATGATAAATTATTAAATAATATTAATGAATGAAATTTTAGTGTGTTAAATCATAATGAGGTTATCTGCGCTCAAACTTTGTTCAAAAGTTATTCATCCAACTGCCAAAACAAGCAGAAGAAATTTGTTGCGAATATGTGGTACCATTGTGATCGTTGAAATAATGCTTGCTGTGTACATTGAGTAAGTCATTTCTTGTTGAAATTATTTGGAGAGAACTTAAAAATTTGTGTTTAACCGTCAGTCACATATATTTTTCGACGAGGCACTTTTCAAATTCGAATAAGTTCATGTAAAAATTAGGCATTTTATCAGTGCTAGTTTTTTCAAATTTTTTCTTTCAAAAAGAGAGGTATTACTCTTGAAGGCCTTTTTTTTCAAATAATTGCTACTGCTTAGAGTTTCAAATAGATTCCTATCACAAGAAAAGTAGTAATATCGATTTAAAAAAAACGATTTCTCTTCCAGTGATAGTATTTCCAAAAAAAAAAAAAAAATTAAATACCGATTTAATAAATATTAACAATTTAGAGAATTTGCTATGCCAACTCCAGATATAGTGTATGATTTTCACATGAAATTTTCTCGAGAATTTGCTGACTTTGCTACGGGCAACAAATATGGCGCTGGAGCTTTTCGTCATGTTGGTGACAAGCAAGGAAGCAAAATTAATTAAAAATCGAATTGCGTCATTTATCTTTTTTTTCCTTGTCAAGTATCGATAATCGTTACTGTAAACTGATTGCTTATAAAACATTAGAGTTCAAGCGTAAAAAATGAAAAAAATTGATACGTGATGCAAATGCAGTGGGTGATATAAATACAATACATTATATGATCATTATAGTTATGAAAGCATATGCATAGAAAAGCATGAAAGTTTATCATAAGTGAAAAAATTACACTTTCTCATTCAAGTAGAAAACATCCGGGAACGAACAATGAAGTATGAAATATCAAATTATACATTTTTAGTAAGCTATAAAAAATTAATCTGAAATTTACAGATATAAAAGAAGCACACAGAGATATGGTTCAGTAAGTTATGCAACAAATCAGTGATATATTTAAATGAAAAATTCCACAGATAATATTAAAATTCCTTTCCACTGATACAATTCTAGTTCAGATTTTCAACACGTTCGAAAGCATTTGGTCTTAAAACTGTCTATCCCATTTTTCATCGTAACAGTTTCGCAAAAAATATTCATTTTTGAAATACGAACCGATATAATAATAGTAAAGAGCGGAAGGATTCATCATGCGATATTTCACATATTTTTAACAGAAAGCTATCATGGAAAGCCAAGATGATACAGAAACAGGTAAAATCTTTGTTCAATAAGCCATCTTTGAGTTCTCTAATTTTCCTCATCTCCTCTCTCTCTCTCTCTCTCTCTCTCTCTCTATGTTCTCCTTTGTAGAATAGTTGTAGCAATTTTATCATGTTGGATGCGTAATTCATTTTCTGTTCTGGGAGAATATTACATCATTGATAATGCAATAAGGAGCGAATCTTTTTTCTGATAACTCTCGTGCGAACTACTTTTTCATTCATTTTCTGTGCTGAACATGTCCTATTTATGGCTTCGAATAAAAGTGTGATAAAGAGCCAAGGTTAAACTTGACAATTTCAAACATCATTGATGTAGCAGAAGAGAAAAAATAACTGTGAGTCATTTTCTGTTACAGTAATAAGAGCGATAATGTATTGCTTTTCAAGATTCATTCAGTAGGCGCTTTTTTTTTTCATCAATAGAAGCATATCATGACGCCTTAATCGTAAATATGCATAGAAGTGAAATTGTTGTGAGTTATAAAATGACGCAGCAAATTTTTGTGATTTTTTAAATTCTCGAAGGAAAGAGAATTGAACAAAACGATAGAGCGATATTACTAAGTAATTAATTACTGCGGATAATATTAATTATAAATGCTCTTGTTTCTGCGAGGAGAATTACCTACAACGACAATCAAACAATACTTTTTGCTGTTGTTTACAATCTTATAACTTCACAACAACATGCATATGGCAGCTAACGCTTCGTAAATTTGATGCTAATCACCTTAATAAAATTTGTTAGCGACTAAGCGATAAATTATCTTAATGAGTAATGTTGAATAAAGCGCCATATCTTAAATAACTCTGTCACAAAACGCAGCCTGCAACAATCCATATGATACATTCATGATGTTAAAATGTTTCGTTCAATAGCGATCAGGATAATATTTAACTTTAATCAAACTTATAGTTTTAGTTTAAATTAGTTGATTGAAATTTGAATTCTTAGATTAAATTGGTTGAAATTTGAATAATGCACTAGGAATGTAAAAAAAAAAAACTTAGTTCACGCATTTTTAGTTGAATATCCATCTATCTTCCATTTTGATCGATTTCATATGCACCATTTCGATTTTGTTGAATTCACTAAAGTAATCATAGCCAAATAAATCGGCTATTTTTGCGTCAAATAGAAAATTACAATTGAATATCTCTTTAACATTGTGAACAAATTATTATTCTCGACCAAATGAACGATACTTTTCATTTTAACGGCAGTAATTACTTCAACAGTACAGGTCCTTTGAAAGTTCCTGTATGCTCAAACCTGGGTCTTCTATGCTGTAAGTTTATAACTATGATCCAATTTTATTATCCATCCATATTTGATGAATTCTTAAGCAGATTATTTGAAATTTTATTCGAAAATATTTGTTAAATATTCAAACAAAAAGAATCACTGCTATCGTGTTATTGACTAGCTCCGGTTTTATCAAGTAGAACTGACTAATATCATATCATCTCATCGTCTGATATGATGAGATAAGAGAATATGTAGAAATCGGAAAATTTGATGACAAAAAAATACATTTGTTTAGCAAAATTGTACAGTACGAGACGCCTAATATCATATATTGCAACGGTTGGTAATTTCATCGCTATTCCTCTTATATTGTATTTAACATTTACAAAAGTAAACGATAGATTTTTCAAATATTTCACACTGAATTTACTGATCACTTGTATCATATCAGCTATTGCTGCTCTCACAATCGATGTTATTAATATTAGCAATCTTTTTGCTAGCATAGAAGAAAGCAAAGATTACCGGTAAGCTTTTGTTGAAATTCAATTAAACATTCTTTCTGACACAACTTTACTCACCATCAAATTATTTTATGGTGTTATTGCTTTTTTTATCTTTTTGTAATGCAAAAAATTTGTTTAAAGCAAAAGATCGCAAATGAAAACATTTTGACAAATATTATTGAGAATTTTTGATATAATGGAGAATTTAAAAGAAGAGAGCTGCTGTATTTTTAGATATTATATTCGAGAATGGGCTCGACTGTGTAACGGTGTTGGAAGCATTTGGTTTCATGCTTTAATGCTTTATGCTGTCATTGTTTGTTATCTACCTTATGTGAAGCCACTTTTTTATGCGAATAATTTTATAAAAAAGTTAGAAATTTAATCCCTTTCATATACAATTATTGAAGTGAAGTTTTGAGTATTGATTTCAAAAAGTCATGAAAGCATAGTTTAAATGAGATATGAAAATCATATCCATCGTTTCGTAGAAATATTTTATTCAGTTTTTTTCCAGTTCTTGCATATTTTCTACGCTTGAACAAAGCTATTGCTTATTTTATAATTTAATTTCACTTTTTTTTTTAGAAGTCAAAAACCGTATTACATTGTGCTACATTTGTCGATATTGCTTTGGGCTGGTTTTGTAGTTTTACTCCTAAAGCAGTTCCAATATCATTCACCTTTTTTGCTCACTCATATCGTATTATTTATCTTACTCTTTATTGCTGCTTTAATGGTAAAATTTTTGTAAATTTTGTAAAAATAATCTTTTTCTGGTGACTTCAAATAACATTATTTTAACTCTCAATGATCTTCTCTTTTTTTCTATACTTTAAGGGAAACTGAAAGTTATGATTGAAAGATAACTTTGCACATTGTTATAGGGATCGATTAAAATAAGCAAATATAAGCCGCGGGGCAGTAATTCTATCCGAATTACAAAATTGCAACAAAAACGTTTGTATTCATTTATTTTATACAGTTATTCCATTGAATTCATTACTTTGCCAGTATTTGGTATGTTTTCATCGTTCATTCATACAAATGTCATTTCCGGTTAGCTATTAACAGTGAAAAACTGTTCTGTGCTAGGCATTTCACAAAAATAATTCAAACAAGAACTTCTATCATCGATTTCTTTCAATTTATCAAACCAAGAGTAAAAGCATTAGCGTAGATTCACAAAATTATAGCTTAACATGTTAGCTGCATCAAGTTTTTTTTTTCATTAAAAATTGAAATATTGATGGGATTAATGTATGCACATTTTAGTTCAAGTATGCGCTTATGCTATTTGTATGCTTGCCAATTGCGAGCGTAATTTTCGTGAGAGTAATTTTAAAGCCACCCTCAGTTTGGCGGTTTTCTATTTTTACGAGGTAATAAAGAAATCATTTACATATTTCATTACAGATTATCATTTCTCATTTACCAAATGAATTTCTCATTTTCAGTGAAATATTTGAATGTCACTTAATTTCAGATGCGGACGATCATAATTATCTCAATTACAATCTTTGCACTCGAGCCATATCGACGTGCAGTTTGTTCATTACTTCGCAACAAAAAAAGCACGAAAGTGACATCAATTTCAAATAACAAAATCATTTCCGACAACGATTGAAACCACGATTAATTGCATATTCAAATCTACTAAAAAAATTGCAAATAAAGCACACTTACTGTAAATAATTACTCTTTCATGAAAATTATTTATTGGTAAATTTTTCAACGCAAAATACTTCTTATTACCTCTCATTATTTGTTACCTCTCATTATTTGTTTGTGTGTGAATGTAAATATGGAACTTGCAATGTTTAATTTCAAATTTTTATATGAAAGCTCAGAATTCAAAGATCATCAATTGCTATTTAATTTATTTGCTCGTTTGTTTTGTTTTTCCCCAGATAATTCAATTCTGTAATAATGCTAACTAATACATAAAGAAATTTGACGATGCCAAATTGATTTGCTTGAAATGTTCGACATTCAAATTGCTTCTCACACAATGTTAATCATTTTGAAGTTTTTTTATAGGATGATTTTTGAATTGAATGAATTAATTAAATGATTTTATTAGTTATTAGAAATGAGAAGGTCGTGTTCGCGAGACAAAAATCAAGAAAAATAAAAATAATAATTTTTATGCGAGATCAAACTCAGAAATAATTGTATGAATGCATATATGATCACGTGAATCGTTCATTAATCCATCTCTTTTTTTGATTATTCATTTTAATTACTGCAAAATTAATAACGGTGGTGTGAAATTCTTGTTCTATTTT